AATCATATTAAACAACGGTGTGTATTGACTCTTAATTCAATCAGTGACAGAGACTGTCAATTTCTGTTTAAGCCAATAAGCAGATGGATAGAATTCAGCCACACAGGATAACTAACCTTTACAGATTAATGCTATAGGAGATTCCTCATCCAGTATCATTGTTGTCTTCACATCTATTCAGATAGACTCCTGTGACTACAGACTGTCATTAAACTTTCAGGATAACTTGACTAGAACAAGTAAATTGTAAGTAATAGCTTAATAATAAGTTGTCAAGCTTGTACAGCTTTGAGTGATTTCAAAGTACAATAAGTTATTAATTTAAAACAAAACTGTGATGCTACTTTCCTGCAGTTGCAGTCAATGGTCTTGATTTCCATGAACCATCATGATATTTATCCATCCTATGACCACTGGATGTCCACAGTGCTGGGTAATGAAAAGGCAGATATCATGGTTCATTGGTAATAGGAATTCAGTAAAGTATAGGGGCTTATTTCCGTCATGATGTTTTGTGCATCAGACAACTTAAATTCATGACATGAATACTGACACACCTCCATCTCTCTATTGGTATAGTGTGAGAGATAATTCAATTTCATACTGATACATATATGGACACAATTGTTAAAAATAGAGTGTATAAATACGTTTCGAGATATTTAGCACCTGAAATTCTAACACTGCTTTACAGCTGAAATCATCCTAGCAATCTAATTTGATATTTCGAATATCTATTTCTCCTTTAGATCCAGTCAATTTGATGGACAAGACCTAGTGACAATACTATTTAGTTGATTGTATGATATCTAGAAATTTAAAATATTACAATGATCAACATGAGAGCACTAACTAATATTATCCTCCAGTATTACTCATATTGAGACAATTCTACTAACCACTTTAGAAGTTATATTTCTCTTCTGTGTAATGTGTATGCATCAAATTCTCTCTGATGAATCTAAATTTAAAGTGGATAATCATGCCAAAGATCAAACATTGTCGACTGAAATAAAACTCGTGGTATAGCGGTTAGGACGCTCGCCGACCATGCACATGGTACGGGGTTCGATCCCCGGCCGACGCACTCCTTTACCTCTCTAAGCTAGAAGTAATGCTGGTGAAGAGGAAAGGTTGGGCATGAGGCTAGCAACCTCATCCTGTAAAATAAACACTGCTAGAGAAACTTCAAGCCACTGGCTTGAAGCCCTATGTTCCACTGGGGAACGTCAAGGAAAAAATAAAAACAACATTTACGGAAACTTTTCAAAAAGAAATATATTGCTGGAAATATACATGGGAATATTAAAATCAGTGTGTGACATGCACCAAAATTATTTGGGTGTGTTACAATACAGAAATCAGGGCCGCCCCAAAGACCTTTACTTTCATTTATAAAATCAGCATTCCATAAATTAGAATAATGGCTATGTGCATTATTGCAACCTGTGAGAAAACGCTTTGGAACATGTATTCTTTCTCATTCATTCCAGTCTGTCAAACAAATAACTTATCTCAATGTAACTGGTAGGCATCCGTTCTCTTTCGATATCGCTTCTTCATAAATGTTCGCCATTGAGACTATTGACTTTATATGTCGAGCAGCGAAGGACATACTCATTCCAATGTCGGAATTGAGGAAATTCTTGCTTTTATATGCTAAAAATGTCAAATTTCAGTTCGATGGGCGTCTCTTCTGTGAAGTTGATGATGTTGCAGTGGGAAGCCTCTTAGGACTAATTTTTGTGGATTTATTCTTATCAGGCTTAGAAGCCAGCATTTTGCAAGAGCATATACAACAAACGGAATTATACCTATGATATATTGTCTGTGGGGAAATCAAAAGCTGAAGGCCTAATGACGAAATTCAACTTATGCCATCCGTATCCTAATTTCATAATAGAACACGAGGAAAATGATATCCTAGATGTTTGTCTAATGAAAAGGACTGATGGCACAATGAAAAGGTCTATATTTGGAAAGTCTTCATGGACGAGACTGTAGATACACTTTAAAGTTTTGTTCCAGTCAAATATAAAAAGAACTTAGTCAGAACACCGTTCAGTAGAGCACGAAAAATTTGTTCTGACAGTACAATTGAATTTGAAATAAAGACTCTGAAGGATATTTTATCTAAGAATGGATATAATGAGAGGTTCATCAATGAATACTCTGAAAAATGAGCCCTAGTAAAACTATACAAAGTTCCAAGAAATCTGTATATTTGGTTGGGGGATTTCATCATGAGCTGACATCATTTAGAGAACAATTAAAAACCTGGGGGTACTAGACAGCTGTTTCGCCCTAGTTCAGGACTATTCACCAGCCCTCCAACCAATCAAACAAAATTCCCTACATAAGCAATACTTGAAAATCTGTATATATCAATTTGCCGCTCAAAGATGATCTACAAGAAGTAGTCAAACGAAGACTCAGTTTATCTATCGAGAGAACTTATTATGCTGCAAAACTTGTCTTCTTTAACACCACCACCAAGCGGGTGGTGCTTCACAAATCTGAGAAAGACAAGTAGCCGGTCCTCGACACTTCAAACTGCATATATCAATTTGAGTGTGTTTATGGAATGAAACAAATACAGAGGTCATACGGAAAGGGGACTGTCTTCCCTTCACATGATGGAGCATTTGCCAAGGTTGTTGAAAACAACTGAAGTTAAAGTGACAAGACGTTTAACAGAAAAGCACCTCGTGCACTACAGACATGATGTTGACTCTTTCAAGTCACCCACTGTTGTGAGCAGAGAAAAATTATGAAAGTGTTAGCAACTGTGGAGGATTGTTTAGTAATGGTTAATAGACCAGGTCTCTGTGTGCAAAAGTAAATGGTAGTCACTCTGAATCTACCATAGTAATGTTTTATTTTATTAGCTGTTATTATTATTATTTTATTCTATATTTTATCCTACCTCTCATTATAATTTCTGCTTCATTTAGAGCTGTCTTTTATCATTATCTTAATTCGATCTAACATTATTATTATTATTGTTACTACTACTAGTATTACTATTATTACCGTCAATATTATTATCTAGTTCGCAATTCTTGATATATTCAAGCTTCTTGACTCACTGATAATTAAATGTTTCAATTCATGGATAATCCCCATCCAGGCATTAATGAAAACAAAACACTCAACCACTTCTACTCTCATGGTAACAATGTTTTGATTTTTATTTTATTTTGATAACTTAATTTTGTTTCTTTGCCTGTTCCTTAGTTGCTTATAATTCTTGTATTCACTTAGATCTCTTACATAGTTTCGTATTATCTACTTTGTTTCTATGTGCATCCTGAGTAAAACTCACTCATCAAAATATTCATATTATTATTGCATAACTTCTTTCAACAACTGTTTGTGATAACTCATCACCTTTGTTACTATCCTAGCACTTAATTGTCTTGACTTATATTACCAACCTTTACCTGTTTAGTTAAAATTAACCTTAACCGATTGTAACTTTGTTTGACAAACTTAATGTACACATACATACAAAACAATGCATATATATTTGCGATTGTACAGCTAAGAAGATGAATTCGCCGAAAAGAGACTCTTTGCTGATCTACTTGTTTTGTTTTAATTAAATGTTTACTTGAGTGATGTAACTGAACTGTAATGCATTTCATCTTTATTTTATATCGCTGAATGTAGGGTATCTATCTGAACAGTTCTACCGAAATTCAATGAATTTAGTAAATCCACCGGGCGTCTTAAAGAACTCTTACTGAGGTGTACCTTGAATGTTCAATTCTTTTTTAACAACGAAATATATTGCCAAAAGGATGGTATAGCTATGGGCTCACCACTAGGCCCATTGCTTGCAGATTTCTTCATGGCAAAACTCGAAAACGAACACATGCCTGAAGAAAATGATCGATACTTTCAAATTCTACAAAAGGTACGGCGAGTTCATTATCGACAACAGCAAATAAAATTTAGACGACGTACTAAATTCCTTTAACAACTGCCACCCCGCGAATCAGATAACGTTAGAGAAACCGTCTAACTCCAAAATATCCTTTCTTGACGTTCAACTGACAAGACGAGAACAGGATGGAATACTGAAAAGACCTATCTACAGAAAGTCAACGTGGAACGGACAGCTTACTGACATTCACAGTTGGGTACCTCTGTACACCAAACGAAAGCTAGTCCGTTCACTCAGCTACAGAGTTTGCACCCCAGATACTACAGAAGACAAACTGGGGAATCTCAAGAGAATCCTCGTGGAGAATGGTTATCCAGAACGATTTATTGCTAAATCCACGAATCCTAGACCGCAAAAGCCGCCCGCGCTTAGCGTCCCCAGATAACACCTCTACATGAATCTTCAATTCAATAGAGACTTATCTACGGAAACACTGAGAAATCAAGTGTCGCATTCAATCAAGAAAACTTTCTTCGCAGCTGAACCACGATTCGTATGAACGTGACGTATAAGCTACCACTGCTGGCCTTATCAATGTGTATCTACCAATTCACCTGCTCATGTGGAGCCCGGTACGCCTCAGAAGGGCTGTGAGAACTGGAGAATAAGTTAACTAAGAAATCAAAAATGGAGAAGCAAAGGGCATTCTTCTCAGTGGCATACTTTTTTTAAGCATTGTCGCTAGAAATTTCCCACTTCGCGAACGTATGTCGGCTTGTCTTTTCGATTCATTCACGAGCCTACTAAGAGTAATTTGTTTCTTTCGGCGCTATTTTTATCATGACGACGTATTTTTATTATTTCGAATCAATGTTTTGCTCATACATTAGGGGTTTTAGGGTGAATATCAGTAAAGCTTTCTTTTTAGGCTAGTGAGCATTACCTTCCGCAGTACATTTGGAGTTAGTTTGTGTTGGTGTCTGGTACTCAGACAGATTCGTTTGATGTTTATCAATTAACGCATGAAAATGAAAAGCAAAACAAAACACAAAATTACACAAATGTATACAAATATTTGATAGAATATTTTTCATTATCAGCGAAAAAACATTTACAAATTAAGACGTAAAAGTTCTATAAATCGGCTGGCTGCTTTATCAAAATTAGAAGAATCTGACACTGGAATAGATGAACTCCCTGATGAATTAGAAACAGCCGGAAGCGGAGATAATGAACCTAAACGGCGATGTGTGCTGGAAGACCGGTTAATTGAACGTCGAATAGCAGATGAACAGGTTTTCTGAAAAAAACCAATACAGACGTATACATTATAATGACAATCAAATTCACATACAAGTGGAATACAGTACTGATGATTTTCAACGCTACCTCTCATAAATACCTGATTTCGTGACAGCATTTTCACTGTATCATCAATAAATAAAATAACTATGAAAAAGTACTGTCAAAACAACAAAAATAATACAATTCTCAACTCTATAGTCAGTATAATAAGCCAAAATATTTTTACTTTGAAACATTTCCATAACATGGAGGCATAAAATCAATAGTTTAGAAGCTGTTATTGACAAAGCAATTGTGTATCTTTTAAATTCGGAGATGTAGAAAATGAAAACAAGTGATTCAGAGAGACTCTTTTCAACAGCTGTACAATGCCATATATATATATATATATATATATATATATATATATATACATATACGATTGAACAGCGTGGTAATAAATTCATTAAAAAAGAGTCTCTTCGCTAAATCAGTTATACACCTGCTTCTTTATTCTTCCGAAACACTTTTGCTCAGGTTGTGTTAGGACAATATTACTCTTGGTAATGTGTGCTCAAAATGGATAGACAATAAGAATAATCAAAATAGAAATTTGAGTTAACTGATTGACTACAATACAAAAGTGAAACATTCTGCTACAAAAACCACATGTCTTTGTAAACAGATCGAAATTTATACATTTGAACAACTACATAGAAAAATATATCTGATGAATGAACCTAGTGATCATTTATAGGATGAAAGAATGCGTATACTCTAACAGTTATCAAAATATAAAGAATTATGATTGAAGTTATTTACACACAATAATCTACAACAAGAAAAACCAGTAGGAATAACGTCAAAAAAACCCTACCAAATCAGTAGTCAATTCTCGTATAAGGACTTGTTTGGCATAAAGTGTTGTAGACGGACTTTTCAAGAAGATGGTGGACTGAGACATAACTATCGAAAGCACCATTTCATAGGCACGTTGAAGCAAACAGCTGAAAATAGCAGATAGAAAGAAGAAAACACACTAATTAGTAAATAGAAATCTTAAAAACTTTCATTTTGCAAAGTGATATCAATGTAATCCGTTGTTGAATGGAAGTCCAGAAGAAGTACAGTGATGAATCCCGGAAACATTTAACGCAGAAATGACAAAACACACTGCTCAGCACTTGAATAATAAGAATAACTAGTGTTCACATACATTACTCAGTTGTTACATTAAACAAACAAATGATAATCACCAATATCCTTTCATCTTACAAAAACTGGTTGCAACTTTCAAATATAATTTTTCATCTAGTCTAGTTCAAGGGATAGATTTTATGATGGATACGTTTCGAATACTATACGGACAAAACAGAAGAGCAGATGACTGATGCTTCAGACAACATCTGCCGAAAACTGTTTTATCACAGAATCAAATGGACTCAACACATAACAAGCTTGAACAGTAAAATGAACCAGCTGGATGGCATTACCAGCATATATATATATATATATATATATATATATATATATGCGGGACATACACGTCCATCTTATACAAGGAAATAAGACTGATGTATTTATAGGTCTGTTGGATGTTTTGTAGAATGTTTCAATCGAATATATTATTATTGTATCCTTTAATTCCTACAGGAACATAGGGCTTCAGCCGCACGTCTCCATTTCGTTCGGTTCTCTGCTAGAGTCTTCACCTGGCTCCAAGTCTGCCCACACGTTTTCATCTCCTCTTCACATGACCTCCTCAAAGTCACCCTTGCACTGACGACCAACCCGCCGCTTCTCTTTCGGGTTCCACTCGAGCAATGGCTTGTTTAGTGATGTCACTTGATGGTTTCCTCAAAGTATGACCAATCCATCTCCATTTCTTCCTGCATATTTGTTTCACAATCGGTTCCTGCTGGGTTGGTTCGCTCATTGCCAGAGATCTCTGTTGCTGATCTTTTCTGGACATCTGATCTTGAGTATTGAGCGAAGACAACTGTTAATGAAGGTCTGTAGTTTGTTTGAGATGCTCTTTATGACGCGCTGGACAAGTCTCTGATCCGTATAGTAGCACTGACTGACTTCACATTGGAGTTGAAAATCCGGATCTTATTTTTGATGCTGAGTGCTGTTGACCTCCACACAGACTTGAGAGTAGTGAAAGCTTGTCTTGCTTTTCCGATTCTTGCTTTGATATCCTCGTCAGTTCCACCTGTAGTTGAAACGATGCTTCCCAGGTAGGTATCAATCGAATATATCCTTCATTAAAAGTTTAATTTCAGAAACAGTATGAAAACCCGACGGCAGTTAATTGTAAGACCATCCAAAATTATTGTTCATAGACAATAAAGCTTAGACATAAACGCTGAAATGATAAATGACAACTACGAAACAGGCCAACTGATATGTGGATGACAGTTCATATTCAAAAGAGGCTGTGAGTGAAGAGAATAATATCAGATATATTTAAGTAACAATAATATTCACAGCTTGTATAAATAAGTGAAGAGAAAAACATGAATAGTTGAAGTTTTATAGAGTGTGAGTCGTGTTGTTTTTTTTCAGTTCGAATAATGATAATTTCTGTAATTTAGATTTACACGTCAAAAGTACTTAGTTCAAGTAATAACATGATACTAAAGCGTTTATAGTCATTTTCTGAAGTTGCTTATGAATAAATCGCATCGATTGTTTGAGGGTTAACGAAACTGCTCGATTGTCAAATCTAGACAGAAATCGGATTCGCAACACACCACTTGGAAATTGAATGTCGAATACAATGTTAATACACTACCAGTGTTTAAAACAAAATAACATTGTATGTATTACCAATCCAGGTTAACAGTGAAAAGATTGGAGAAAATATACAAACCGAAAATTATATGCATGTGTGTGCACCAGTTGCAAAGAACAACATTGCTACTTGTATGCTAATTGTATGGATGACAGTTAGTTGAGCGATATTTGAACCTGTGACCCACTAATTGAAAAATGATTGTTTACATAGTGAGTGACAACAACGATTGAATTCGAACATAATGAACAATAGACCACTCACTACCGTATTGTAGTAGCCTTGAAGAAAATGCACATATATATATTTGGAAAAGATTGCGGTGAATAATATGAAAAGCACCATTATGGATAAGATTTTACTTTGATAAATCACACAGTGTTACACAGTAATATTAACTGATGACGTTTCGAGCACAAATTATTGCTCATAATCATATCAAGTTGAGCAATAATTTGTGCTCAAAACGTCATCAGTTAATATTACTGTGTAACACTGTGTGATTACATCAAAATAAAATCTTATCCATAATGGAGTTACACTCTACCACAGTGCCCAAGTTTTATACTTATATCAATATGAAAAGCAGATTAGTGATTGATTCAAAACTTTCAAGGTACCACATCTATCTACTATTTAACTAAGTCGTTTGCATTATTCAAGTGATTTCGGCTATTAGTGGAATTCAGGATGCACATTTCGTCCTGTGCGGGGCTCATCAACCTGATATACCCATATACCTAATGAGTTGTCATGTTCTTGTTGAGACTCGATCCCGCACCGATTGTTTCAAACACCTAGCCCGAGCTGCTAGCCAACATCGATCAAATGACATCATGTTAGCTAGCTATTGGGCATCATCAAAACGTCCGTACTAGGAGCTAACATGTCACAAGAGATCGAGCAAAATTCGTTGTTTTTTCATGAAGAATAAACTTTAAATAAGCAAAAGTTGCTCCCTAGTCAAAAATAGTAAATAAATAAAGTTGCAATACTAACCATATTTCTCGTTTCTTCTCCTGCGTTGTTGTTATAGATTCAGTAGACTGATCTAACTTCCATAAGCTAGCTAACTGCAGAAAGAAGTAAAAAGGAGACATTTTAAGCCATGATTTCATAGTTAACCTGACAAACAAAGATGCATAGAGAAAGCATTACCAAAAATAAAAAATAAAACGTTTTCAAACACCAAAACATTTAGTTTTTAAAAAAAAGCAGTATGGATTACTGTTTTGTAATTGTCTGGCTTTCTAATCTGCGCTATATAATCATATGCTTTAGCATTTTTCGGTAGTTGAACGTTTCGTGTCAATAATCGATACTGCTTAACTTCTATAGCACTTACTCAATGCCTTGGTTCAGTGATTAACTTCTCTCCTTCCATATTAAATATGGCTTGTTAAAAAAGTAATTCTGTTGCGTCCTATAAAGAGGCTAGATTGCAACAGCTGAGTTTGTAAGTGTTATTCACCTAAGCAGCGTATATCATTTTTAGATTCATCCGCATTCCTCTGTTCTCATAACCTAAATGATCTCGGTCAACTATTCTGACCTATTTATTTGACCTAACAGCGATTACATGGTATTTGGTAAGCCAAGTTATTTTTTTTTCAGTTAGCTCAACCACGACGTCGTTATGTAGGAAACGTTTGCCTATGAGCGAATATGAATATTTAAATGCTGACCTAATCGGTATCCTTATTTACACAGTAATATTGATTCATTATAATTTTTAACCATTATCTCTTCTACCATTCTTTTCAGCGCTTACAAACATCTAAAAAGATTGTGAGGAATAATCTGCTAGCAGAGGTGTTTCTCTCATCTCTTCGATATCTTTAATGAAATCTCTTGACCTTCTAACTAGAAACATGATTGAATCTATCTTTACTGATATAGAGTGAGATGAGTAAGAGTCTAGGTATCCATTAGGATGCATGTTGTTTTCATTTTACTTTGCAATAAAGCATAGGTTGTTTACTGTTTTTGTCTACTCCAAAAATTCAACTGGATTCCATAAACTATCACTGTGAATGTGTCATCTACATCTGTCGAATATATCCTAGGAAAAGGACGAAACGCCCTATGAGGTTTAAGTCCCCATAATATATTTGCTGCTATTAGGGAGAATAGTACTGACAGTCCAACCAGTAGCCCATTTGTTTGTGCTCTAAACGTCATCCAGTAAGTTATACTACGTTTTTGTGCACCATACCAAATGATTTATTCTATACTGAATCATGGGTGTGTCTTGGTAAGTTATTTCACCCTGGAAAGAGAAGAGCACCTTGATGTGATATTGTCAGCTTTGACCAAGTGAAGTGAATACCACGTGCTGAACGACTACCTACCTACCCACCAACCTACTTACGTTTATCCAAAAATTTAATATAGGATGAAGTAAGATTAAGTTGGTGTGCGTCGGTGGCATAGCTGTTAGGACGCTCGTCGACCATGCACATGGTCCGGGGTTCGATCCCCGGCCGACGCACTCCTTTACCTCTCTGAGCTAGAAGTAATGCTGGTGAAGAGGAAAGGTTGGGCATGAGGCTAGCAACCCCATCCTGTAAAATAAATACTGCTACAGAAACTTCAAGCCACTGGCTTGAAGCCCTATGTTCCACTGGGGAATGTGAAGGAAAAAAAGATTAAGTTGGACAAAAAAGCCCAGAGTGACTAATTCGACTTATCCATTGAGGAAGTCTTCTGATTATTAATCTGAATGGCTGAAGTCTGGACATATTTGTGAGCAATAGTGCACATCTAAACATAATTTCATTTCACTTTAAATGTAGTATAACATCTTGTTCTTTGCAACATGTTATCTGTTTTACAATTTTCTGCAATTCTGTTATATTTCCTTAATGCCCGCCACCCTTCATGTTACCTTCTACACTGGTGTAGACAGATTTGGGATGTTACAATCGAGGAAGTGTTGAGTAGTAATGCCAAGTGTTGAAGAGATTAGTTACACAAGTAGAGACTTTCTGAAAAAAAAAGTTCAATAAAAACAAAAATAATAGAACTCACTTTTGAAGATAAACCATATAATGAATTAACTAGTGTGATTAAAACACCAAACGTTAATCCTCTTGAATTGTCACCAAAATTTGGAGTTTTGAAAATGAAATCAACTGGTACATTTAAATGTTTCAATTCTTCAGACTACAAGGTAAAAAAATTTCTTTAACAAAATGAAAAAGAGGAACATGAACAAAATAACAAAATGAATTGCCTTAAATATTGTACATAAATTTGGTGTATTGTCAATCAAAAATAAAATAATTAAAACTAATTGACTTACTGTCATGAAAGCAGTATTGCTGAGAATCGGCAATTGTACCATTAATACACTAAGTGAAGTGACAAGATGTCGTACGAGACAAAGAAGTTCCAGTCCACTAGTTTGCGAATTACTAGGATCAATCGACACTGATGAACTGGTAGCATATGGACTTGATACATCAGTTGGCTTGCTTGCTGCTGGTGATTTAGGCAAAAGAAACGAATGTGCAGATGAAATTGATGTTGGCTGATTATTAGTACCAAACTTAGTTGCCATCGTGTGTAATAAAGTATTTGGGATATTTTTCAAAGGTTCAAATCCATGACGTTGAAATAATACTGAACAACAATGTATTTGACATTGTACCAGATTGAATATTGAATTGAAAAGCTCTGAATGCACAGTTGGTCCATAAGATGGCTAAACACAATTATATTAATAAGAAGTATATGTATGTATATACCACAACTTACCCGTTGTCTGGGTAACTCTCGATTATTTTCTATTCGACGTTGATTTGGATATAGAATAGTTGATGCTATAATCGGCAGACCCGATGCAGGTATACGCTCTGAAGCAACTAGAAGACGCCAGTATAACTGTAATATTATGTCTGCTATTTGAATACGGCGATTTGATAAAATACCCTGTTGAATTAATACGCTGGTCACTGGTAAGGAAGACATAAAACTCTGATCATATACAGATGTTGTATACAATGGTGAACACCAGTAACTTATTAGATATTTTAATTGACTAGCATTATCAGTACAAAAATTTTGTATTATTGAAGATACTAAAGGATGTTTCATACCGCCGAGTGTATCATGAAGTAAGCATAGAAGTTGTATCTCTAACATATAAACAGCGAACCAATCATGTTGAATATACCAAGTAGCTAGATGATGTTCTTCCCCGTCATTAATGAATGAATCGTCTTGTATCTATTATTTTTTAAAGAGAGAACATAGGGAATAAATTACATTCAGTGCAATCAAAATAAACTTACCTTAAAATTCTCTTCACTATCTTGTACCCATTGGAGTAAGACATCCAACTCAGGCCAATAAAATGCCTCTGAAATGTATTCATGATAGGATACAATCAACTGAGCTATTGTATTTTTCTGGTGAACAAAGATTACATCATTTGATTCTTTAGCATATTCTTTAGAATTTTCATCTAGATCAGCTGTTGTCACTGTATCGGGGGAGGGGATTTGAAGTGATTTATTTGTTGATACAATAGTGTCATTTGCTGGATGACATGAACTCGTTACTAATTTAACAAGTAAACTAATTAAACTGTGACAGAGTACTGCATTTTCTTTGACCTAGAAAGAAATTAATAACAATAAACAAGAAAAATAAAAGTATAACTGACTTATATGAGAGGAAAAATATTAAAGTTATCAATAAAATAAAGACACGTATACACTGAATAAAGGCCTATTGAAATGTTTCACTTTTTAATTATGGAAGAACTTGGAAATTATTCGTGAGACAGAGTTAGTTAAAGTTAATAGGACAGTTGGATTCCCCGTTGTTTGTCTTAACTGGATGGAAATAATTTATCCACGTCAACATGTGTTGTATCATTGTTATTAGATAGTTGGAAGCAATCGGTGGTAAACCTTGGACCTAGGCTTTATGCTTCCTGGCACTAGTCAGCAAGGCGTATCTGTAATCTTGAAGCAACCCATGTCCCTCTTGTGATTTGAACCCGTTTCACCCAGTGCTGCAGTTAGAGACGTTACCAAAGAGCATCTAACCGCCTAATAACAAAAATTCACAGTGCACTATGACGTCAAGCAACCTAACATGTTGGCCAAATTGCAAACGTGACCACTGCAATTCAGATTGCACCAAAAACGAATGACTACACGTATGATACCAATTGTTAACTAGTGTCCAATCAAAATATAGGACGCTCGCCAACCACGCATGTGGTCCAGGGTTCGATCCCCGACCGATGCACGCCTGATATCAATGGTCGGCCTGCTAAATTTGACCTACCGATATCACATGCTGAAAATTCCACACTTGTACCAAAAATACTGTGTGGAATCAAGCTATAATAAAAATAAAAAATTAAATAAGTATACTGTATCATTTGACAGGTGAATATCGTAACGCAATAACCTAGTTAATATTTCTAGGGTGCTTGAAACTATATGTGCTAGGTTCAAGCTTCATTTGGGAAATCAGCCCTAACTGTGTAGCAGGAACGTCTAGATGATGCGTTCCAAGTGGGACGAAACACGTATCCATGCATCCATCGAAAACCACTACTTATCTCGAAAAAAATGGGTGTTTGATATCCAATTACTGCTAAAATTCTAACACCACTTGATGTGTTTAGACACAGTGAAGACTGTTACCTTGCATACAGACTCTGTAAAATGAGGTTGGCTAAGGAAAAGGGAAGCGAGTAGAGGACAGTTGGTTTATGATAAGATACTGATAAAGATGAGACATGATTCGCTCAGAGAGGAGTTGGTGTTACAGCTAAATTGAAATCAAGGAAGTTAAATATATAATCTTAGACACTGAGAAATAACTTCAAGTACTATCACTTTTTTACATTCTGTTTTATTCTACACTCCCAATGAAATCAGTACAAGTGTGATTTTTGTCGACTGTCTCATCCTTTATAACCAATGATGCTGTGCATTAATTTATTTTCAATTTTTTACACAAGCAAAGTTTCGGTGAAATATTTTATTGTCTTTCCAAGATAAAAAAACACATTGTCTTACATATCTACTTTCCTAAACAAAAGGATGAGAATACATCAAAATCCACATGGATGACATCAACTTAGATTAACACATAACCTTACCTTTGTACATTCTGTAAGCATAATAAAAATATTATTCAAAACTCCAGTTTCCGTAAGACATGTAAATAGTGTTGGGCATCGACACTCATCCCACAGTAGGATGATCAGATTGATAGACTGCAATATAGCCTACAATTTGTAGGAAAAAAAAGTATTTAGCACATGAAGCAAATGCTGAAGCATCATTAATAAAAATATACCTGCTAATTGCAAATAGCTAACTGTAAAATTCTGCAGTTGAATATTCATAGGCAGTTAACTGAAAAGAAATTCTGAATCTTTGTTTTGTGTTGTTTTTTTATTCCTTTACGTCCCCTATTGGAACATAGGGCTTCAGGCTAGAACCTTGAAGTTTCGGTAGCAGGGGTGTTTATTTTTACGGAATGGGGTTACTAGCCTCATGCCCAACCTACCCTCTTTGCTAGTCTTGTTACTGGCTCAGAGAGGTAAAGGAGTGCGTCGGCTAGGGATCGAACCCCTAACCACGTGCATGGTTAGCGAGCATCCAACCGCTGTGCCACCGACGCACATGTTTTGTGTTGGTGAATTATAATTCCACACTGAAACAAACTCAGAAACCCTTGATGTTGATGCGTAGTATTCAGCAGTGAGGTTAGAGATGTGTTTTTTTCCAATTATTTACGTTATAACTTATTGCAGCATAAGATTATATGCAGGTAGTATTTATGCACTGCTCATAATGAACAGTTATCTGATATCATGGTATATTTCTGTTTGTTTCATGACATCGTTTATTCTTTATCACGAATGTGATTTACGATTTCAGTTTCTTCTTAGGAAACTATAATGAAACCTAATCTCGAAACACGTACAAAACACACTTCCCAAGTTTTCTTCTTATATCATGGAAATATACCTTCCCCTAGCATCTAAGTCATACGCTAATATCGGTAACACCGGTTTGATATACAATAAAGTAGAATATTGAAAGACAAGTGCCTTAATCAGTTTGCCCAGGATATCCTCATTATGACTGCTGACCTATACAAACAAGATGAGATAAGTCAGATACTAATATATTTTGCACAAACGCTGAGGTTAAACAGAGACGCCAAGCTGGACAAAGACGAGGTAATCCCGAGTAGCACTCATCTACACCGACAGCGTATACAACAAGCCAACTGGTCTCTCAGCCAGTAACTTAAACGAGAGCAGACAAAAGACGAGACGTAAAGTAGGTATATTCACACAATAACGTATAATTCAAAAAATCACAAAGGATATGTCAACTAATCTGTAATCATGATCAATAAAATAATGGTTTTTTTTATCTAGTCTAATTCTGATTGGTTTATTTTCAAACTGGATACCGATCACCATATCAGATATATACCACTATCATTTGAAGCGGTAAAGACCTCTTCATAAATTATACAAAATAAAATGATGTTGAACTATTTCATTTAAGCTATAAATAACCGCCGAAAGAATGCATATCCAATTTCAGCGGAACAAATAAAACAAAATTCCCACCTTTCTTTCCTTCATAAAAGAAAACAGCAAAACTGAACTTACTGATTCCTCAGGTTTACTTCTATTAGGATTACGTGTCATTATGCTTAAATAGTAAACTGCATTACTGAACAGAGAAGATTGAAGTGAAACCATGTCTTCATTATTGGTGGCTTTAGCATCCAAAGTTTTTAATTTATACAATTCAAGTAATAAATAAACACTTGCTAGTAAATCTGAATGCATATGCTGAATTTGTGCATCAATAGAAATTCGAAAACTTGATAAGAGATTATTTAATTTGTTTAAATAACTAAATAAGTCATCAGTTGACAATTCATTTTTCACTTCATTTCTGTTGCGTTTACTATTATATGCTCTGAAAAAAAGGAAAGGGAATAAATTTTATGTGCGCGTAAAGAGGTACGCATACAGTCAAGAATAGAAAGACAATATGATAGAAACAGTAATTCACTCAGCTTAAAAACTCAAATTTAATTCATAAGTCAGTTAACAAGAAGTAATGCATCATAAGAATAATTAAACAGACATCAGATACTCTTAGAATCTGGAAGATGTCACAGATTAAGTACATCTGAGACGATATCAACAGTTTCGAGACAACCACTAGCCTTCCATTGTCTAGTGTCGTCTATATATATAAGCTACCTAAGTGGCAGAAAGCTGCAGTCAACGATTGCATGGATTAGTGACGTGTGTTATAGCATCCACCATTAATTCCTTCGAACCTAGTCGTACTTCAGCTTATATTACTGTTGGCCCAGACACGGGTGAAATGTATATTGGTGACCATTCTCACAGCCGTGAAGCTTGACAGATCGCACTGCTGCACAGTACACACGTTATCTAAAGTGCAGTCACATAAATCTCAGACGCCAAACAAGATTCTTGCTTCTTTGCTAAGATTTCGTCAACAACCAGCCTATTAGGGCTGATGCAAATGCCCAACTACTTTCAACCATCAAGGAATTGAAATTTTAAAGTGGTATGGGTTTTGGGATTATACACTACTATATCACTCCAAACACTGATCATAAGCAACTAAGGGCTGTATATTTTACCTGTTATAGACCGATGCCAATTAATTCTTGATATTATATAGTGGATATGGTGTGATGGGAATCTGTAGCCCCCCCCCACCCCCCGGCAGAGTATAGGACAAATTATGTCTTAGACAGAAGTTACAAAGTCACTTCAGCTCTTCCGCAGACAATGGCACTATGCAGCTCATTCTCACTAGAAAATGCTTCATAGTGCAACACTTATGTTTTAATACTTTTCAAAAAGGCGTAACAATTAAAAACGGTATTAATTACTTATATATATAAGTTAGCGTTGTAGTGAGTGTAGTCGCCAACTGATTGCCTAAATCCAATGTCGACTGAACATACGGTAGATCTCTCTGTAAAAATAAAACAACAGTAAGTAGTAGTAATACATTTATGAATATACAAACCACTTATATACTTCTGTATCTACAAAATCTTCAAGAACTCATTAGCGAACATCATTTATGAACTATGCGAAGTGAGTACACCACAAGATATAAATGGATAAGGATCACTATCACACCACCTAGAGACTCTAACTGTGGGTTCAAGTTTGCAGACTGACTCTGACTGCAGCACTGGGTTCGAATCTTAGAAGGGAAATGAGTTGCTTCGAGGTTGCAGATACACCTAGCATGGTGGCCATATTGCAAGCTTGACTGATAGAATTCAATCTGCACCGAAGATAGGACTAGACACATTACACTAGTTACTAACTAGTGTCCAATCAAGTTGCAGATTGGATAAAAGTCGAACGACTTAACTTTCCAACACAGTTAGGATCAAGTTACAATGAACCACAGGTCGATACTTCCCCTTTGGTCACATAAAGCCTAATTCTACTTTCACCAGCATATCACATTGATGATGAGATGTAGTTCATTGGCTTAAGCAGATAACTTTTATTCGATGTGTCCCAGATTCAAATCTCGCCCCACCTGCTTCAACCTGGGCGATTGGATAGTATCATCAGCACTCACACAATAAATGTAGCTTATAGCCCAGTACCGAGGAACTTGGGTTCTAACCAACATCACATGTTAAGCAGATATCAAAACATAAGACCCTAATCAAGTAGGGGACTGGAGCACTAACACTTTTTTCACTAACATACCTATCTAATCTAAAACTGTACACCTAGCTTTTACATTGCTCACATAATTTATTCACATACAAGGTCAATGTTGGTCAAGCAAGTGAAGTCCCAAATGGTCCTTTTCCTCTAATAGTCATGTAACATGGTGTTGACTACTTAAGTAGGACGATAATTACAGAGGATTTGAAATTCAGTGTATGCTTACAATAAAACCAATAATGAAATAATAACCCATCATAAAGGATACCACCACCTACCAGTGGAGTGAAACACTCAATCAAATCACTTAAAATAGATACAGCTATCGACGCGAAATCATAGTTTGTTTGCTTCTTTCGTTTATCTGTTTCCGTGGAATCAGTGGCAGGCTGTTCTCTGGCATTATAGTTTAACATTAATAAACATTTCCAACGACAAATGACATTGTGTAAAGATGTTAATCGGGAGTGGACACGGTCCACAGGCATCGACTTGGATTTACTAGATGATAGTATATTGTTTAAGCAATTAAGAGTTAGCTTGAAGAGAGAGAAAAAGAGGGAAAGAAAAATTTATATTTGTTAGAAAAGCGAGAGAGAGAGATAGAGTGACGAAAACTTAATAAGTGTGAATTTCGCCCTTATTTAAAAATGATAGAATCCTAGTGAGTATAAAATATCTTCTGCATATCAATAATTAATCAGTGGACATGGTTTGTCAACTACTTTTATTTGTTATACCATTCGGATTTGAAGACTCAAATACTACTACAAACTGTAAACGTAATTTCCTTACCAATGTATCAAATTGTACGCATATAGCAAGGTGATATATACATATATACATATGAATATGATAGAGAAGATTTGTAGCTCAGGTGGATGATTTTGATGTGGTTGTGTTCTCTGAGCTGGATAGTTAATTTGCGAAGCTTTCATCACCCTACTGGGTGACATCTTCAGCGCATACTTCAAATTGAAGTATGCGCTGAAGATGTCACCCAGTAGGGTGATGAAAGCTTCGCAAATTAACTATCCAGCTCAGAGAACACAACCACATCAAAATATATACATACAAACTGTTGCACATAAATAATTTTTCATAATGTTAAGAGTTTTCCGGATTACTGAAGGATCAATAGGATATATCTAGAATAAACAGTCCGATGAAATACTCAACAGAATAACATAAACATGTTAGAACTGGGAACTGGAAATTAAATACCTAGGCGTCATTCTATCTGCTGATCTCTCCTGGTCGTTTCATATCTTGGCGACTTCGAAGAAAATATTCCGTCTTACCTTCTACATCAAGAAGTCAAAACATTCGTTAACTCTCGCATTCTGCCTATTATTCTCTATTGTTCCCCCTTAGTTTTTCCCGGGCTACTGAAGAAAGACTATAAAATATTACTCAGGATGTTAAAGGTTGTCAGTAGAGTAAGCAACGTGCCACTTAACCAGCTTGTTAATATTCTGGTCGACAGGCACATGGACTCATGTGAAAAATCAGCCAAATCCATTTTATCTAACTCACACCACCCTCTTCACTCACAACTCTCCCCTTGCATCTCATCAAGCAAAACCAGAAGCCTATATAGAAAACTATATGCTCGCACCAGCAAGTACAAAAACTCAACCATACTCTAATTAGCTCTTGTTCTGTGTGATAAAGAAAGCATTAGGCGTGACACTTATAATTCATTAAATAGTCAGTAGAACAACTGGACCTCGTCTTTCCAACTCATATCGTTTACAGGTACAACATTTTTTTCTTTCTTTTCCTATTCTCTCTCTCTTTTTCTGTTATGTGCTGCTTTGTTTCTTTCCCTCGCTTACGCCAGTAAATACGACAGCTCCCACTTTTCACACACCTTCAAACACTGTTGAGCTTTGGCTTTGCTACCGACATGCCAATATGTTGTTTTCATAATGAACTATGTAGAATTCTATTTATTGATAATGTACTAACTGGATGCAATACTGTAGTAAAAATGCTGAGAATTCCATTCTATATCACAAGTACTGTTTTGGAATAAAGCAAATTGTTATTATTATTGTTACTATGAAGATCGAAAAAATCCGCACTTTGTATGTTACCATAATTACGTTGAATGTTTCTCTCCAATTCTTAGCAATACAGATATCAAAACACTATTCTCAAGAAATAGCTTATTTTTCGAAAACGATATATTCATTTAACATTATTATTGTTGTTTCATTAAGAGAAGCTTATAAAATGATCTTATATCTGAGAAAAGGAGACTTTTTATATAGCAATTCATAATGCACGTCAACGCAAACAACGCATAGTCCATATTACAAAGTACAAGTCATCTTCGCTGGCAAATTTCAAACTAACCTTAAACCATTTCTGATATAAATTATTCTTTGTCATATAATTCAAAACTGACGTCAAACATTCGAAGCTTTTATCCTCCGGTGTAGAACTGAAAAATAAAAGATGAAAATAAAGATAAAAGTGGAGGCTTGTTTTCCTCAGAAAGAAGCCTATTTATCCTATCAAAAACAATTTTCGTATTAACATAACAACTTATTCCTTCTTTTCTTTCATAGGTAGCAGAATTGTCCAAGTGGCTGCAACAGGAGTCAAAGTTATTGAGGTGTGTAGTCGTCATCGGAGACAATCAGTTTGCATTAATTAAGAAGTCTGGCTAAATTACAGACTACTGATATAACCTTGTCAAATAAGCAAGTGAGAAAAAAGTTCGGTTATCGCATTGCCTAAATTGACCTACAGTCACATGATAAAGGGTGGGACTGAACGAAAACTTTAGGAACCAGCATAATTGGGTGCAGAGAGAGAGAGAAGGGATTTACTACCAAATCTCTGTACTATCCTACCAGCACTAAATGCATTCAACCGCAATAACTGAACAATTAATGCAGGTATATTTAGCAAAATCTGCTGTCAATAAACACGGAGTAAGAGACTAAAATTGTAACCATATTACTTGATTTTGACAGCTAAATGAATATGTTTGTATCACTGATTATGAAAAAAACATTCTGCTTGAAATGCCATCAGGCAAAACAGTGCACCATATAATTGTCTGCTCTACCAAATAGACAAACTGAGATGGAAGTATCAGCCAAATTTTAACTCTACAGAAGTTGAACAGATTGGTAGAATAACGCTGTCACACTACACAGCAGCAGTTGAATGGAATAGCTATAATGTTGTGAAGTTTTTCGACTACATGATGTCATAAAATGAATCGGAATTTGGATACAGTTATCCCACACGCTAGATATACTGTCACAGTCAACAGTACACAAAATAAATTCAGTGTTAGTAAGACCATTAGTCAGTTTAACGCAATTTTATCAGATTATTAAACATAACACCTTTTTGAAAGATTGTTGTATAAAGCTACATCTCATTTATAACACGTCGAAAATACATCATGAAATGCTAGAAACTAAACGAATATAACGGAAAAGTAAGTAGGGTAAATTATATTACAATAGTAATTTTCCCAGTCAATTAATAAATACTTTGGGTGACTAACTATGATAATATTTACGCATAAATGTTCGCAATCTTAATTATCTACCATTAGCCCTAAACGCTAGAAAGCCTTCCTAAACGTTGAACTAGTATTCATTCAAATGTAATATTTTTACTGCAGTGTTTGTTACGTGTTTATGCTTCAGTCAACATCTACGAAGCGTTCAATATCACTGGGTAGCGAAATTACAGTTGAGCATTTAACTAATTGACTAGATAATGAAAACAATACCTCATCACGCATATGAAAAATTAAGAAAAAGTTGAAAATTAAGTAAATAGACAATAAAAAGGACTAACACAACTAAAAGAGGCCATTTCTACAAGGTTAGACTAAAACAAACTAGATGGAAATCACAAATCAGTTTCAAAACAATACAGTGTACACATCAGAGAAGGATACTACGACAACTACGACACATTGGTTGAAAGTCAATAAATGCTATCCTGGAAAAAAAGTGTTAGTGACTTTCTTGTCAACCAGATTATCAACAATAACGTCATGACACACTGAGATTGACACTGAAAACTTTGTAGATGTAAAATTTAAGCTATGGACAAAAAATAGCATCAATATGATAAGAACACAGACAACTCGACTTGTGAATATTTGCTATGATTATTACTGTCATACTGATAATACCAGATACGCAGGTAGGTTTGGGAGTGCGTCGACCAGGGATCGAACTCCGGACCACGTGTATGGTTGGCGAGCGCGCCTTCCGCCGAACCACCGACGCACCTGCTATGCACAAGGTACAATTTATTTATTTTTCCTGTACTCTTCGTAGACAAATCTATTCACTAACTAGAGCATATTCATTTACATGGATACAACACTAAAATAGACTTGAATATTTGGTGTAAGATAGTTGGGGGCAATCGGCTGGAAAACCCTGGACGTAGATTTTGTACGTGTTGACAGTAGTCACAACAAGGCTGATAATCCATCTGAAATTCGAATTCAGGTGTGTCATCCAGTGCAGCAGTCAGTTAGATATTACCACTAACCTATTCAAGATTATGACTATCCTTCTATACGACGGTAGTGGATATATTGTTTAGGAAGTAACTACTTTCATGTGTCTACACTCTTTACTGCTGTTAACAGTCAAGTCAACAATTTTTGCTGTTTTCAACAATAGAAAAGAAAAGAAAAGTGGATAATTACCTTGATTTATTGTAGAGTTCTAAAGCCAATACACTGATAACATTTCCACAGAGTTCATTTTCAATATCTGACAATGGTTCCGCCTTAAGGAAATTAGTAATTCAAACAGTATTTTAAACAAAAGGAAACATTTAAAATTTCAAATAAAACTATGCATTAAATCAGCTATAACAAGTATTAAGCAATAAATAGTAAATAAAATAGAAATCAGAGATTATATAGACAGTGTTGTTAGTTCTACAAACTAAATATATCTACAAATTGTTTGAAATATAATTGACATGATAATTACTATAAGATGTCAATTCACCATGAACAACTACTTTTACACGTTTTGCTTTTACAAAAATATGAAGAATGTAGAATGCATGAACACCATTTTTTTGATAGCATTCAACTCTATTTAGGCAAAAAAACAAAACAAATCTAGTCGATAGAAGTATAAAACTTGGGCACCGTGGTAAAGTATAACTCCATTAAAATAAAATCTTATCTAGTGGATGGAAAACTATAATCCACTGTGAAATAGTTAAAAACACGCACTCCGTGTGTGTCGAATTTTTCATTAGACACTAAATAAAAAGAAACCACTAAAGCAATGTAAACATTTGATTTCAAGATAGATCAAAAAATTACTTCAGTCAAAAGAATACCGAACAGCTCTTTCGTGCTTGTTCGGGACTCTTCATCAGCACACACTCATGACCCTACAAACGATCAAGCACAGAACATAGGTGCATATAGCTGTAGAGTCCCAAACAAACGACTGCCCAGCACTTCCTGGTTCTCTAACTTAAGTCCGTTTGTGATCAATTATGAAAGTAGTCGAATCATTCCAAACAGGCGCTTGATAAACATTGGAATCGAATGAATTTCAAGAAAGGTATATATATATATATATATCCCACAATTCAACTACACTACTTAACAACCCATATAAGCAGTGAATTCCTGGCCTTCAAACATGAACATTTCATGTGGGTCTTCTCACTTGGGCGAGACTGGTCAATATTGAGAAATTCCAGACTAAGGTGAAGAAAAAGTCCATTGTAAAAACCAATTAGCACTGGTATTTCAAAGAAGATATTTTCAAAATTTTATCATCATTTTTGATTATCATGAGAATAATATAAAAATTTCTAGATTATTCACATATTCATTCAGTGATTATAATTAACGCTCTGTAGACTAAAATGGATATCAGCTCAAGAAAGCAGTGTAAAAAAAAACACTATCAATATGAAAAACAAACAGACAGTAAATCACACAATGAAAAATTTATGCATTCACTGAAATAACGTACCTTTTCTGACTCCTGTAACTTCAAAATAGTGAACAAAGGGTCAGTCAGTATCTTCCAGAAGTCAGACCTAATGAGTAAAGAAATGTATAATTCAAAATGATAACTATTAGAATCATCAGTTTTATGCGGGCTTGTTTTTGTCAAATAAACCTTTTATTACTGATACATAGAATTGAATGAGGAAGATGAATCCGTATGATATGAGTTAAGACTAAATTTAAAAAGTACATTAATATTGTGTCACTGTGGAGAACGATGGTCATCATAATGCGGTCGACCAAATACAGCATACTTCAGATAGCTTTCAACTAAGTCCTCACAGTACAGTTTTTTTTAAAGTGAGTAAAAGTACCAAAGACACAATTTAAAGGTCCCATTTATTATAACTACTTTTTCTGAGGTTTAACAAAATTTAACTTTATGGTGAAAATAAATGATTAAAAGTCATAATCACACGAAAACTTACTGTTTTTGCAAGCGCGCAATACAAGACTGTATGTCTACGAGATAAAGAGATGAAACAAACTTTGTTACACTCCAGTATAACACAGATGACAATCGATCATCACTTCTTAGTTTTTGAGTAAATGTAGTCTGGTAGAGGAAAAAAAAGGAAAGAGATTAAAAAATATATATCAGAATCATAAATATATATATATTTCATTTGAATTTCTACAATTAGGTCAAATAAGTGCTTCTGTGTGCCTCAGGGTCTAGGTATTCACACTATCAAAAGTATTTTCAACAGCCTGCCGCAAACTTTCACCAGCAGCTGCCCTTGTTGGCTCGATGCTGAAGATCAGCTAGGTCGATTAGAAAGGATGAACAATGCTGACAACTGGAAAACCCGCTGGCACAACAAATAGGTAGAAGGAGGTGGAAATAAACGCAACATACGCAAAAGGGACCTTCAAGTAATATTAAACATCATTGGAAATTGACGACTTGGGCTTTTACCGATGATGAAGAAATGATAGATTTGTAGAAGTTGTGAAGCCAGTTAAAGCTGATGTCACAAAGCTGAATATAATTTAGATGTGCCGCTGAAGCTGATGTTCCATTAGGAACATAAGCAACGAATGATAATAATAACAAATATGTTTTCTGACTCCACGTGCACTACCAATACTCTTACAGAACTCCATAAGTATGCTTATCACACAATACTGACTGTTGGTTTGTTTGTGGAAAGTTTTCAGTAAGTGCAGATTACAAATATAATGCTGAAATATTTCTAGCAAATTTATTTTCCAACTAATTATGAATTTTATTGAAAAAGTGATCGCCTCAATTTTGAGTTTATAGTCAACAAGGCCTAAAACACAAAATTTAAATTAAATGTTTGTAATATGATACAGACAAATTTTGATATATATATATATATATATTTAAACGCTTAATCATGGGATCAAATTTCCAGTAAATTCAAACAAATATTAATAAACAAAAATTATTCGATTCAATTGTTATATTACTATTATAATTAGACAAAATATACTATACTACTTATAAGTAGTCTACATATATCATCCAAAAATATGTGACCTGTTGACTGCACAACCTGTTCATAATTGCTTATCGGTTCCTTACTTACAGATGGTATTTAAAGTCACATATTTTTTGACAGAGTTAGGCAGTTGTGAGTGGATAAAAACCTTCTTGTATATTCATTTTATCCGACTGAGTATAAATGACGACTAAGTATATACGTGGAATGTAGATACATTATTCCAAAAAGCCGACAAACACAAACATTTTCTAAATCTCTGCTAAGATAACCACCTGCTACTACGCCACAATAATTTGAAGTGTAAAAAGAGACACTGTGGCACCTGAACATCACTTGCATCAAGTAAACAAAGAAGATAAGTAGATTATCTAGCTATAAGTTATCGATGACTAACTGATTGCACTTTCAACTTAGAACTTTGCACAAAAGTAGAGTAGTTCAAGTTGACATTATCGATATACCACACAAAAGGAGAGGAAAATAAAGAAATTTAACGCAACTATGATGGACGGAAGTGAACAAGTAAAGAATGAGTACACAGAGAATGACAAGAATTTAATAAATCCGGGAGAATAAAAAAGATAGAATGCATCAACACTATTGAGGACGATTTCGAGCTGTCACAACCAACAATCTCCAGCCATCGGTTCTTAGTGCCTCTACAACTTCAGCCACGTAGCCCACACCTCCCTACGTGGACTAAACCAACGTAATACACTTCGTCGATTGACGGTACGTTTTAATCCTACCATCACTAATTTCTTTCCAACATAATCCTTTGTCAGCTAACATTGTTCAACGAGGAAAACGTTGCCTTGCACATGTATAACATGTGTCCAAGTCCTATCGATCGACGCAGATTCACAGTGAACTTAGAAACGGTTAGCTACAGGACCTCTGCGCCTACTAATTTTAATAAAAACATAAAATCTTTACTCAGTGTAGAAATAAGTGAAAACATATCTGAGTTAGGCAGCAAGACTCATTTTGAGGAAGCACGATATCATATCTGGTCTCTTGAAGAATCGGTGGTAGAAACTGTTAATAACCTGAAGCTTTGATGGAGCATTTTCTAATTTACAACTAAATTGTTAAAGGTCGAGTGCTACTGTGTACATAGAAAATTATGACCATGTGTTGTAAACTGATAGGCACTAAGCAAGGGAAAAAAATACTATTATTTCAGAATTAACTTATTAAAAATGAACTTTATTCAGCATCAATAACCATCCATACCTGTAGTTCTTTCAGTGTATCTAGTGTACAATCCAAACAATCAGTTTCCGTAGTTTCTTTTGAACTAGTAGTTAGAATATTGAATTTGATGTCTGGAGCATTAATATTATTCAAATTGATAGTGAGTAGTAAGCTTAAAATTCCAGTTGGCATTAATCGAAAATTAGCAGTTGCAATCTTCCCACTATTTAATACTTCTTCTGACAATAAATCATACAGACCAATACGTGTCAACTGATCTTCTGTAGTTGATGTTAATCGCTTCAGGCAAGAAGTGCGTATCTGATTTGCCTGATCGCCCAAATAATTTGTAAGTTCCACGGATGAATACTGAAGATATAAGGAGGAAAACAGAGAACAGAAAATAATGCTATATAGTCTGCTATAGTCTTTAATAATTTGAAGTCATAAGAAATGTTATCTTTGATTTTATTGTGTTCTCCAAATTGGATGGTTGGAGAATAACTCTCCAACTAACCAGGATGGGGAAACTACACAGAAAAACAAACTCATCCCCACCTGAGACACTAATTTCTATTATTTTCCACATCCCCATTCACGCATTTAGAAAAAACAACAGATTGAGCGAAGAAATATATTCCTTTTCAATTAGTTCCTCGTTATCGGCTGTACACTAATATATAGTTTTTTACATCAAAATTTTAACTCCTCTTTTTAGACATTCTAATGACTAAACGCAAAAGACGGAACAATATGTTTTATGTTTTGATTTACAGCTTGATTCCACACCGTATTTTCAGTACAAGTATGGAATTTTCAGCATGGATATCGGTAGCCCAAATTCAGGCCGACCATAGATATCGGGTGTGCGCCGGCAGGGGATCGAACCCTGGACCATGTGCATGGTCGGCGAGAGTCCTAACCACTGTGCCACCGACGCACAAATAATGGGCCAATCCTCGAGGTAATGCAATACGAGGCCGACCCGTGGACGGGGTTGAGCAAGCTCACAGCACCCGTCCGTAAGGGAAAAATACAGGTAATTTCATTGGTCTCAGTTTAGAGACCGTTGCAGAAATTACACTGCAAAGAACAGATGCTACACATGATCTTAGCTCAGAGAGCCGAGAAGCGATGTAGACGTTTGTACAGAAAACCTACTTCCAATGGACAATATACTCACTTCCTGAGCTTCGCACCTCTACAGTAAAAACGTGATCTGGTTAGATGTCTGGTTCACCGGGCTAGAGTTATCTGTTCAAATGAGACACTGAACGAAGAACTCGGTAATATTCGCGATCTACTAAATAGAAACAGATATTCCACTAAATTCGTAAGCAAACACATGAACTCAGAAAGTAAAAAGTCAAAGTTGCCGACTGTCCCCAAAAAAGTCAGGTTACAATTCACGGGTGCTGTCAGTAGTGAGGTCTTATCACAACGTCTCAGAAGGGCCTTCAAGAGGACTTTCTATGAAGCTAAGCTATGCTGTGTATTCACTAGCCGACCAATGCTTAGTTCAAGAAATAAAGACTGCCCTGCTTCGCCTCTTCCCTGTGTATTTACCAGTTTAACTGCCCATGCCCAAGAGGAGCTAGTTACATAGGGTGTACGACCAGGCAAGTTTATCGTCGAATTTCTGAACACCTCCCATCTTGGTTTGGCAAAGGTCCGAATAAAGCTATACGCAGCTCAATACAAACTCATCTCGTAGACACTGGAGATCAAATCGACTCTAACAAAGGTTTTAAGGTTATTTATCGTATATTACCCAACCTCTCTCATAGTCTACCAGTACGACTTTTACATACAGCAGAGGCAATCGGAATTCATCTGAAGAAGCCAAACCTATGTCTTCAAAGGGAATTTGTACAGCCCCTTTCTTTGTCATGGCCAACTAAATATGAATTAAGTTTTTTAAAACGATTTTTCCCCTCCTCTTGTAACTATCTTTTGACTTTGTTAATTTTTACAATTCTAGCTAATTCTATTAACTTGTTTGTATTTTACGTATCTCTTCTGAGTCATCCTATTCTTCTTAGTCATCATTGCTTATTTACAAATTTCTTGATTATGTAATAACTTGTTGCCAACGTCTAAGAATTAACTTATCTTGAATTCCGTAAGCAATTTTCACCCTTCTTTCAAAACTTAGATATCTTGTTACTAACATGTACTAGTTATTTGTTTTAATGACCTTTAACCTCTTGATTTCACCCCCGTCTATACCTAAAACTGATTAACTAAAATAACCACTTGATTGGTAAAAAATTTTGATGTAAAAAGCTATATATTATTGTAGAGCCGATGATGAGGAACTAGTTGAAAAAGAATATATTTCTTCGCTCAATCTGTTGGTTTTTCTAATTCCTATTAGTTAAAATTTTGTTCAACAGTCTGCATATATGTATATATACATAGAAATCAAAACAAAACAAACTAACTTGTACTATCCACTTGAGCACTGCAACAACTAAGCGAGATATTCCAGAACTGTATGGATATCGAAGGTAAGAGAATAGTGTAGTTATGTAAGGATCATTGGTAAGCGGATCATGGTATGACTGAATACTTTTTAGCAATGAAATACTTGAATTTGAATTTTCTGGTTCACCTATTAATTTATTCTCCAGACCGAGTAAGTGATGAATCAAAGTAAGAGCTAGCCACACAGCTCTTATAACCGGTGAGTCAATACCTCTTGTATCAGAAAGATCGGAACCACTGGGATAAACGGACATTGGAAAGCTGAAATAGAAAAGTATCGATTAATTTAAATTATTAAAAATACATGGCGATAAGTAGAAAAATGAGGATAATCGAAAGAATGAGTCATTAAATTGGATAATTTAGTGAAATAAAAAAATTTCCTTAACATTCTCCAAAATAATTTAAGTAGCCCTTATAGGTGTAAATTGGAACGAAGGTAGACGAGAATTACTTGAACTAAGTAACTGAGGAGTTTTTGTATATATGGAACAACTAGTGATCACCTTCATCAAAAAAAAACAATGCTACTTCTGGCCAATTAAAATATATGCAAATACACCACATCAAAAGCAGTTACACATGATTGCGCAAAAACGACTGTTCATCCCGAACAGGAGTGTACACGTCCTGAGTTTGTCCATATCCTAAAATAATTTCAGTTTATTTTACCGTTTTCATCATCATAATCATTGAAAAGAGGTAAAACTAAATAAACTGACTGCGAATACTACCGTAAATCAATATCATACGGTTTATTATTATCCGAATGGAGCACAGAGTTTCAGCTGGGAATCTCTAATGCAACTCGGCTTCATAACTGCCCACAAGCTTAACTTATTGTTCATCTGATCTTCATTTCCCCTTAGAATGCTTAATCAGTCACTCCCCACTGGGGTTCATTCATGAGCCAAGCGGACGTGTAATGCCACTCAAAGGTCACTTCAGCGTACGTTTAATCGATCTTCTGATTTGTATTTGTTGGGCATAGGGCATCATGTTGAGTGCATTAGATCCCCGAAGTGATTTTAGAGTAATGAACGCTTGCTTAACCTTTCCTATCTGCTAGCTAGTTTTGATATCTTCATTCGTGTAGTTGAAATGATGTTGCCTGTTTAGGAAGGTGAGTAAATGAAATGTCTTACATTTCGATTTTCACCATTCATGATGATTGGCATCTATTGTTGGTCATGTATCTACATCACCTCAGTCTTGCCTATATTCACCAGAAGTCGCGTCTTCGCTGCCTCTTCTGCTGAATTGTTGGATTTCATTTGTAAATTTTCGAGTTTGTGAGACATGAGATACAAATCACCCATGAAATCAAGCTCTTCTATGACCTTTTGTAGATCTGACGTATGCCTACTATCTCACTCCACTCAGTCTGCGACACGATCCAATCCAGCACAGACAGGGAGATCATCGGTGGTGATAGTAGCCAACCTTGTCTCACTCCTGTCTTTACTTCATACGTCTCGATGAGTTTTCCTACGAAAATTACTTGGCACATAACACTATCATTACCTAGCAGTTGGATGAGATTTGTAAATTTCTGCGGCACTGCCCTCTGATGTGTTGAAAGTTTCAAACTCCTCCACAGTCAGTGTTGTCTAAAGCCCTTTCGAAAAATTAAGAGTTGACTGTCATTCTGAGTTGTCTTCGGTGATGGTGAATAGTGTGGCACTTTGATCCGAGGATGATTTATTTCTTCTGAATCCTTCGTTCTGGACGAAGTCCCCCACTTATTGCATCTTTTTGTTTTCCCAGGACTCAATATTTTGCTTGGAGTGCACGGGGGCGTCAAGTCGCGCCAAACATACGCTTGAGCCACCTTTCAATCAAACCTCAGGTGCCTTTCCTTCTTCCCACACATGCAGTCGTTAGGCAAACATTTCCGCTGTGGTTTTTGGGTCCGTTTGCATCGCTCCTGGGATAACTCCATTTGGTCCTGCTGCATTCACGGCTTCTATTAGCTTTATGACCTTCAAGACTTTTATTCTGTCTGGGTACTGGTGTTCACTGGTAGTTGTGGGTGAGTGGTATGTCTTCGTTGGTTCAATAGTCCTATGAAGTGATCAGGCCCATGTTTCATCTGCTCCTGCTCTTTGGGACTTCGGTTTCTTTCACTATCTTTAATTGGCTTCATCTTCGTTCATCTCCTTTTCATGGATAGTGACCCGGTTACCTGATAACACGTTAAGACTTCTTTCTTGTCTGCATCTTATTCTGCTTCAGTTGCTATTACGTCGTAAGAGCGTCATTCGTTTTTCCCATAACTCTTTACTACTTTGTTTAGGGTGATTTAAGTGGTACCCAGCTTCACATTTCGTAACCTCTCATAGTACTCCTTCATTATCCTTTTCACTTATATTAGATTTCAAGTGTCTGTAGTCAGCCGTTCCTTGTCATGTCTACTCTTGTTGCCTAATACGTTAACACATGTTTCCTTCTATGTCACTTACTGACAGTTTGTCCACACATATTCCTCAATGATACTGCTTTGTATCTCTGACGACTGCAGCGAAAATGGCCTTTGTAGCTTAATCTTTCGGTTTCTGAGAATTTAACTTGAATTTTAGTTTATCCTTAGCTTCTTTGAGAACTTTCAATTTGATCATAAAATTCCCTGCACTAGATAGTGATCTGAACTTACATCTGCTCTTCTTCTCCATTTTGTGTTCAGTAAGCTGAATCTCCACTTTCTTGAGATCGAGATGAAGTCTATCTGATTTTTGGTGTATCCATCTAGTGAAATTCATTTCGCCTTGTAGATATTGTCGTTTATGCACGTGATGCCTCCAATCACTAAGTCACAAAAGGTGCAGAAATCTGCAGAGTTCTCCATTCTCATTCATTTCACCGAGTGCCTTTGAAAACACTACCAGTTCTCTTCCCATCTTTTCTGATCCCAGTTTGGCATTCATATCATTTTTCGGAACCTTAATGCCACCATTAGGGGTCATGTCAATTACTTGTTGCGAAAATCCTCGTTTCTGTCTTGGTCACCGTTCTTTGTAGGTGAGGAGTACTGTAACACTCCTACACAGTATTTTCCCATTTCTACTAGAATATGAGCAGTCTTGCAAGCCTCAAACATGGTCGCCGCGTTCCATGCCTCTACGCTTCTACAAACCGGCCGACTGGCTTTCCTTAGGCTTTTAGTCATCGACGTTATCTATCCTTCAGTTCAGCAGTCTTCACGATTCCGGAGGATAAGTTTACTTCTTTTGTGTTTGGAAGATGCCATGGAGATGAGTATGCTTTTTACGGGGTGGGATTGATAGCCCTACACCCAATCGTTGGTCTTTTATTTGTGATGAGTTAGTAATCCATAAAGAATAGAAGAAAATTGAAAGGGCATTTCAAGAGGTAGGAATATTGATGAAGACATTCGTGATCCCAAATGAAATCACATTTTTGGTGATGTTTTAGTGCAGACAGTTCCATATTACTTCCTTTAAAATCAGACTTCTGACAGCTGAAATCGCCTATCACTTCTGTGAACTCGATTATCGCAAATTTTGTAAAACCGATTACATTCACTGACGACATCATAAAAGTAATTTTCATATCCGCTTTCCCTAGATATGAACATTGGTTATTCGATAAGTGAGCCATGTTTATTAAAATTTCACTGACTTAAATGTGGCTTGCACGTGTTATTCGAGCAGTTATCAAAATGTTTAATATGCACTAACCCTGGAGCAAGAAACCAATCGGTAGACTGGGAAGTGTCACAGGATGAAGGATATTTGCTTCGGTTTAAAATCTCTTAAAGACACACAACACACTAAGTTGGGTCTGGAAGAGTGAATGACTCATTGACTTGGAAAATAATTAAATATCACTCACTGACACCAATGACACAAGCATACTGCAGGTTTCCTATTTCTGTGACTACCACAGGAATGTAAAAGTAGTGAATGCTTCCGTGAATGTGTTTCATGAAAACACCTATTTGTTCTTTCTGACAATCTTCAACCATTATTTATTTGCTTTATCTGACCCTATTGTACTGAATATACATATTATAGTGTTTGATGGTATTGATTCCCATGCTGTGCTGAACTGGTATTTCAAAAGCAAAACGTATTGGGAAAAAACTCTAGTAAGTCTCAAAAAGTGCCTTACCCATTTTCAGTCGCTTCTGTTTGTCGTAATAATACGCTCAAATGGATTGAAGAAAATCCAATAAGAGATGTAAGTGGACGTGCATCACTGAATAATAAGTGTAAAGCAATAAACTGATGAGCTACAGTCCAATGTTTTTCTTCAAAAATAAATTTAGGGCATAAATACGACGATGATGTAGAAGCCCCTTGTTTAAAATGTTTTAAACTCATTTGTAAAATTTGCACATCCTCGTCTGATATATATGTTGTCAATACATCAGTCAACAGTATGAAACAATGTTCGGCTAGAAAGTGATGAAAAGAAAGGAATACAACTCAGAGAGTGTAGATTTTTTACGATAACAGAAGAGAACTTACACCTCAAGAATTTAAGTTAATGGATGAGCCTACCACTTAGGGGAGGGAGCATTATAGTTTGTGAAGAGGTTCAAAATGATGGCGCAGATATATTCACACCCAGACACACTGAAACTCCTCATTTATCTTCTTTCGCCCATCGTTGCTTCATTAAAATTCTCTTTAATTCTAAGTGTGCCCTTCTGTAGTGCGCCAGCTCAAAATGAAGCACTTGTGTGCAAAAGCCTACGTTAATAAGTCAGTCATCATTCTTTCGAAAATAAGACCAGATAGAAGTGAGTTTGCTAAAATTCTAGTATGCAAAAAACAACATAAAAATGATGTAAAGCACAAAGAGAAAGCTTTCTAAAACAGGGGCATAAAAGGTTCATGATACTATTGAATTACTCTGGTGAAAAAGGGTGGGTCAACTGTTTGGACCTAGAAATAACTCTTTGAAGGCTAGGTGCTGGATCCCAATACACATGAAGTGTGCATTTCTAGTCGGAATGGTTGAAAAAGTACAGAAATGTTTACAAACTTATTATGTGACTACTGGTACAAAGGTTTTTCAGTTTACTACAACTATTTCTTATATGCCGAAAGGTGAATCACGAGGATGGTAAATAGTAGAAATCTATGCGTTCCTTTGAAACAATCTGATTGGACATTATCCCTTTAAATGAGACTTTTTAGCTGTTAGAACATTGTTTTTTTGAAAAATCATTAAAACTAATAAGTGATGTGTTGTGGAGTTAATACCATCCCAAAACTAAAGACAATATCCAACATTAAAAACGCTCCAACTGTCTAAGGTTATTTGCACCTTCAGGATTGGTAAAATAGGATATAATAGTTTTCACAATTTACGATTAACTAGTAATTACTATGAAATCTGACTCCATTGATAACATAAGAAAAAAGAAAAAATTATCACATGTTTAACATAACAATGCAAAAACTTACCTAGATTAGCTAATTGGTAAAAATCTACCCTGGGCGGATTAGTTATAACTGATGCACCATGATTTACACTTTTGAGACGATAATCAACTTGCAAACCTGTTGTCATTAAACACTGGATTATGAATACAAGACATCCATGAATTAATTCAGAGCATTCAATATACAATGGAAGATAATCAGTTTTTACATTTTCAATAATAAACTTTGAATTAGTATATTCCCATCGAACAAAAATGAATAATCCTGATATAAAATTAATATATGAAATGAGTAGATTGTAGTCGACTGGACGAATACACAAAGGAGATAATTTATGAAGATTATAAGAATAAATCGGTTCAGAGGAATGATAACCAAGAATGTTGTTTAGCAGATAGCATGAAGTAAGACCGAAAGTGAATCTAAAATGGTACAGAAAAAGATAAAAAGAAAGTAAGAAAACAGAACAGTGAGTTGAGTTTCACTGGTTATTATTTTTTTATTTTTTATTTTTATTATAGTTCGATTCCACACCTTATTTTTGGTAGAAGTATGGAATTTTCAGCATGTGATATCGGTAGCCCAAATTTTGCAGGCCGACCATTGATATCGCCAGGGGATCGAACCACGGGCCATGCGCATGGTCGGCGAGAGTCCTGAACGCTGCGCCACCGACGCACACAATCTGAATAAATACTAAGCTTAGACGGTTATTATTATTATTATATCCTTTAATTCCTAGAGGAACATAGGGCTTCAGCCGTGCGTCTCCATTGAATTCGGTTCTCTGCTAGAGTCTTCACCTGGCTCCATGTCTGCCCACACGTTTTCATCTCCTCTTCACATGACCTCCTCCAAGTCACCCACCCTCGCACTGACGACCAACTCGCCACTTCCCTTTCGGGTTCCACTCGAGCAATGGCTTGTCTAGTGATGTCACTTGATGGTTTCCTCAAAGTATGGCCAATCCATCTCCATTTATTCCTGCCTATTTGTTTCACAATCGGTTCCTGGTTGGTTCGCTCATTGCCAGAGATCTCTGTTGCTGATCTTTTCTGGCCATCTGATCTTGAGTATTGAGCGAAGACAACTGTTAATGAAGGTCTGTAGTTTGTTTGAGATGCTCTTTATGACGCGTAGTGCAAGTCTCTGATCCGTATAGTAGCACTGACTGACTTCACATTGGAGTTGAAAATCCGGATCTTATTTTTGATGCTGAGTGCTGTTGATCTCCACACAGACTTGAGAGTAGTGAAAGCTTGTCTTGCTTTTCCGATCCTTGCTTTGATATCCTCGTCAGTTCCTCCTGTAGTTGAAACGATGCTTCCCAGGTAGGTAAAGGAGGTTGTTTCTTTCAGGTTCCTCCCATTTATGCTGATTGTTGTCTGTTGTTGTTGTTGCTGTTGGTGGTGTTGCCCGGGAATCTTCATTACCTCTGTTTTCTCTATGTTCACCTGAAGTCCTATCTTCTCTGGATGCTTCTTCTGCCAACTTGTTGCTTTTCGCTTGCATATCTTCCAGTTTGTGGAAAATCAGACATATATCATCGGCGAAGTCCAGATCCTCCCAGTTTTTTGTGTGAGTCCATTTTATGCCTGTTTCCTCATTGCCCGCTGTCTGTCGCATTATCCAGTCTACTGCAATCAGGAAAATCATTGGCGATAGTAGACAGCCTTGTCTTACTCCTGTCCTCACTTCGAAGGATTCCGTGAGTTTCCCGTTGTGGATTACTTGGCATGCAGCATTGTCGTACAGCTGTTGGATGAGATGTATAATTGTCGGTGGCACCCCGTAGTAGCGAAGTAGCTTCCAAATCACCTCTCCATCGACGCTGCGCTGTCGAAGGCCTTTTCAAAGTCGATGAAGTTGAGATAGAGAGGTGACTGTCATTCCAGGCTTTGTTCAATCATGATCCGTAATGTGACGATCTGATCAATGCATGACTTGTTTCTCCTGAATCCAGCCTGTTCCGGTCGAAGTTTCTCATCCAGGGTATGTTTGATTCTCTCCAGGATGATGCGGCCTAGTATTTTGCTTGGGATGGACAGGAGCATAATTCCGCGCCAGTTCTTGCATTGACTTAGGTCCCCTTTCTTTGGTAGACGGTTAGTTAGCAAATATTGGACTACTACTTCCCAATAAATTTAAAATACTATCACAAAACAAAAGGAGTGAGAGAGGAAATACTTTTGAATCAGATCCTCATCTATGACTTTACTCTGATATATATATCATTCTTATTACGATACACAACAATTTACCAATCTAGTCAATATCAACGTGTCAAGGGGGTATTAATATTGACTGATCATTGTTACCAAACTTATTACCACTAAATTGGTAACAAATTTCTGTATTGTATTAAAAATTATATATATATATATATATATATATATATATATATATATATATGAGTAGAGTCATAGGTAAGGATCTGATTGAAAAGTAAATATTTCTTCATTCAATCCTCTTGTTTTATAAATCTCTAAATGGGGAAATTTTTTCTCTTTGATTGGAATATTATGCCACAAAACATTAGGCATACTTAAATGCCAAAAAATTACTAAATTAAACAAGCACTATGGAATTCACAGAAGTTTGAACACTTTGGTTGGTAAAACTAAAAGCCTTGGTCGCTAAAATGTCCTCGACTAGGTTCTCTTTCAGAGTTCTTGTTAAATATATCATAAACTATGCAAACACACTAACAATAATATCACTATTAACAGAAGAAGAAGCAAATGATGCAGATGACAAAACGGTAATAATTCTAAGAGATTCCGTGATATCTGATAAACTAATCCTGAAAGCGTAAATCTCCCCCATAATGTGAGATCCATCCGATGAATAAAACAGCTGAACTTTATATTTATTCTACTTCACCTTTTCCTGATCACAAAATTAGGTCTTATGATAAGCGTCCATAAACTTGCCTACTTAGCTAAACTTGTAAACCGGTGCAGAAATAACACAATTAGGTAATTTATTTAAAATTTGAGAGAACACTTTTAATTGCAAATCATCCACCTGAGCTACAAATCTTCTCTATTATTTCAAAATAAGATTAGGTTAGCAAGAAAATCGTAAATGACAGTGACAGAAGAATAAGTTCACTGAAATTTTTCTCGACAATTTTCAACGCAGTATTTTGGCAGTTTTAACTAGAACGTTTTAATATTTTATTGAAAAATGGCTTTTTAGCAGTAACTAGTTCTATTGGCAGAAAGATACTGTTAAAAAAGTATAGTTAATTAAATCGGTGGCATAGCGGTTAGGACACTCGCCAACCATGCACAAGATCCGGGGTTCGATTCCCGGCCGACGCATTCCTTTACCTCACTAAGCCAGAACTAAAAGCTGGTGAAGAGGAAAGGTTAGGCATGAGGCTAGCAACCCCATCCTGTAAAAATAAACACTGCTTCTGAAACTTCAAGTCTCTAGCTTGAAACCCTATGTTCCACTGGGAACGCGAAGGAATAAAAAAAACTAACTTTCAAACTTGAAGAATCTTCAGTTTATTCCTTAGAGATGCGTACACGAAATCAACATCTAAAGGTTTTTATCAACACTTGTACACAGTCATCTAGCTAACCCGCTTTTTATTTTAACTACGTTTACCGATGATTTCTAAACAGAAATAGATATCTGGTTTGTATAAGAGCTATTCAACCGGTGTGTCTGTAGGCGCTCAACCTCCAAACAAAATAGATTATTGGTTCGAACTCCATTCCATCTACCGAGCTCTGAGCGGTCAGGTAGTACCACCACCCCTCATACAAAAGTTGTGGTTTATTACAAGCTGCATGAAAATGCAGGTAATATCTGAGCAATATTTCACTTCATTTTTAACTCAGTTTCACTAACTAAAATCTTTTTTTAGAAGACATGTATGTAACTTCACTGTACCCCTCCTGATGTCACGTGTTACAGTGGAAGAAACTAAAAATATTCTGCATATTACGAAACACTTTACAGATAAAAAATATACCAGATAAAACAAAATATACTCACGATTGGCTTTTATTAGTTTGATTAATAATCATACGCGGCATAAGATTAACACTACTACTTAATACATTTGTTAGTAGATTAATAGTCCCGATAATCGACTGTTTTGAATTTAATGTAGGCAAATTTAACAAAGAATGTCCAAATAGACGAAGTAAACTTGGCAACAAAGAAGTGGTAATCAAATCATCAATTGGATTACAATTAACATTAGGTCCATTTGAACACATCTTGCTTGCAAATACCTTTTGATGTGTTTTGACAAATGTTGATGTGTTGATTAAATACTGGATGATAACACTGACTTTACTTGACGGAACAACATTTAAATAACGCATAATTATCACCCATATATATTCAAGCGATATTAAACAGGGAGTGATATGCATATCACACTAAAAAGATTTTTAAGAAAAATAAAACAATGGAAATTAGCAGCAATTCTACTACTGAGGCAAAAGTTATCAACAGAAAAATTATAAAAGACTATCCAGTAATGAAGACCAGCAGGTCAATTGTAACCAGGGATTTTTGTGTTATGCGGGTCTACCACTGACTTTTTAGACACTCCAGCTTAAGTATGATTAAGCTAGAAAAAATTTAAAGGTGGTTACCCCAAAATAAAATCAATCAATCAATCAACCAAATCTTAAAGTGCTAATCAGAGACATTTACTCAAGTGTAACTGACCAACTGAAGTCCTCGGGATGCTTAGAATCGATGTTTCAAGATGCCTGGTAACATGGTTGAAAACAATTCACAATGTAGCGAATGCATTTACTATCCATCGTCTTTAAAACTCTGGACATTTTATTTAATCCTCATCTAGTTATTCTCTCTTTCAAAAGGAAGTCATATATAAGCATAAAAACAAAACACGACAGTTAATCAGCAATTCAATATTTGTAGAAACTATCTGAAGACTAGATGTGATTTCGCTACAATTACATTTAAAAATGAAGTTTAACAAAAAGACAGCAGACATTGATTTAATTCTGAAGATAACAAAAGAAATAATCACAAGATTACCTGGAGACAAGCAGATATAAAATTCACAAGTTCCACCATCCTTGTTAATCTGACATAAAATTTAACATAGTATTCAGCTTGAATTTGAAGTGATTTACATGCATTTTGACTGGCATTAATTGGTATGTGAGACTCATATTTTTGTGGAGATGAGTTGATGCTTTTATCAAAATCAGTGAATGCCGACTCAGTTGCGTAAATTTCACTTCCAATTATATGCCAAAGAGGATATTCAACACGCCATACAACGAGACCCAAATCTATTGGAAAATATATATACATATAGTCAGAAATTTGTGAATTATAAGTCCATAATAGTAAAAAACAATACTGTATTCTATTCTTTAATCTTCATTAGGAAACGTTTGTAGTAGCCTCTATATTTTTGTTAAATAGGAAATGCTTTCGCCTTGGACTATCACTGCTAAAGCAATACTAACTTGTGTAGATAAATAGATACAATACAGTGATCATCTCAGTGCAAGGGTTAATACAAAACACGATATTCTTAATGAATTGGGAAGTAGCCAACAGAATCCCTGACTGATAATATATATATATGTATATATATATATATAATCAAAACAAGTCGTATTACACGATTAAATGTTTTCACGCTTACCTTGATTAACATAGCCATGTGTTCCAGATGTTAAATGCACTCCGCAGAAGATATTAAATTTTTCAGATAAATTAGATGGTGCTAAACTTGTCTTTGGACTGATATTCATCACTGCTCGAGGTTTGTCTAAGACAACTTGAATACTTGATTTCTCTTCAACATTACTTGTAAGTTGTGGATATAGTGAAGCACCACGGGGAGTTATTTGCTTTATTAATGCTTCAGTGAGAGGTTCAGCAAGATATGGAACATGGTTTGTTAGATCTTTGACATGATTTATTAAGTCACTACCTCCTGATTTAGTTTTAGCGTAATTTGAGTGAGAAAGCAAGCTTGTATAAATACGCAGTACACTGAGATCGAATGGGAAACCTGTAATTAAAAATTTACTAATGGTAAGCAACATTTTATGAGATAGAGATTAGAAATGCGTGGTTCACATAATGAATAGTTTGCCATGTAATTCAGAGTGCAATTCCAAAAGATCAAGTGTGTTATTTCACAGATATGAAACAAAAGCGTATACTTTCAGAGTTCTGAAAACTACTGATCAAAAGAAGTGAAAATGATAGTCTGTTTTAAATCACATTTTTATGATGTTTACATTTTCGATCTCTTTTGCTGAGATGGTCATTGTTCTGATGACTTTTATCCCCTTGAACTATAGGATACAACAGGAAATGACAGTATTAATTAAATACAACTGGTACAGTTTTATTGTTCTGAGTTCTGAGTGGAACATAGGACTTTAGTCCCACACAAATACAATCTATTCAGTTTGCTGCCTTCACTTCCAGGTGGTTTCTCTTCACATGCTATGCTTCATGTCAATTGCAGACGTCTAATCTGTCGCTTCTCATTTGAGCTCCACCCGAGGTCTTGTAATCTATAGGCTGTCACTTGAAGGTCTCCCCCGATCACGTCCAATTTATCCCCCTTTTCTTCTACATATTTGCTGAACAAAAGATTGCTGGCCAGTTTGCTGTCAGAGATTTTTGTCGCTTATTCTCTCTGGACAACCATCTTATCTTCAATATGAAGCGAAGGCAGCTGTTGATGAAAGTTTACAGCTTATCAAGGATGCTTGTAATGATGCGCCAAGTCTTTGAAGCACTAACTTGCTGATACGAATTAATCTTCGCTTATAAATAGGTACATAATTTCAGTTGCAAGTGACTTAAACAATATATGTCGATACTGGTTTGATCAGACAGTGTATTTTAAGTGAAAATCCATCGAACAGATGTATATTATTAAACGAATAAAATGAAATGCTGCACCCCACTAAAATTAAGTTTGCATCCATAAGCAAAATGTATCTATGCTACTAACACTAACAAATCCAATTTGAATTGCTGCATAAAACTTATGTAAGTTACTAGTCATACACTGAACCGGTGTATCCTTAGAACAGATGAGAATATGATATGGTCTAGACCGAAGACCACTGATCTTGCGATTGAAAGTCACTCTTGAGTAATACAAATGACACTGTTAAAACCAATTCAGAGGACATATATAATCATAAATAATATATCAGAGGAAGTCTGATCATATCAAAAAGTTGTCCAGACATTTTTCAGTGTTGAAATGTAACAGAGTGCAAAGTAATTTTGGTTACAGGCATCCTACAGACAACAAACAAGTCTAAGATAAGAATTATACGATGTTACTATTGCTATTTGAATGAAACTTAAACAGCACAAAGCCTATTAAAAACTTATTCACTTACTTTCCATAAGCGACTCAATGAGTCCGAAAATACGGCAACCGATTCTTGGACCACTATCCACTGCAGTATTTATATCAGCACTAATTTTCGGACCCTCTTTTGATGGTGAGTAACAAGCATAGTGAGCATTGGACACAACAACTCTTAAAGTTCGTGAGAACAAAGTAAGGAATGAATCTCTATTCGGATAGTCGAAAGAGTCAAACAAATGAACACTGGGAGGGCGACCGTTATCCAATGACCACAAGGTAATATCACGTGCAAGAAGTGTAATCAGATCAAAGACTGCACTGTAGGCACTCAAGCTGACAAGACTATGACTGCGGTCATCATAATGGACAGAAACACCGGAATCCAATGGCAACACCTGTTGAAAAAAAAACCAGAGAGAGGAAGTAATCAGAAAGTTGGTGTTAATTATAAGGAGTGATGCGAAATTAAGCATATATTTAACCATGTGATTGTTCAGCAAGATGTCAGATGAAGAAGACGGAGATTAGCGGGAACACAGTCGAAATATAATTCTTTAAAGTGGCCTACGGATGGGAACTTATAGTACGCACAAAACAGGTTAAAACTCTCTTTTAATTCACTTCATCGAAGTCATGTATCATGTGCTTTATAATCGCCAGTATCAAACTGCCTAAGAAAGAGAATGAATAAGCTTCCAACACAGAACTTTTCAAAGAAGTGCAGCGGTTCAAAATTCAACACTCCTAATAGCACACAGAGTTAATAAAAATAGAAATTCAAAACCATAATGAACATAAATCTACCAGAAAAAGAATAGGTGCATCGATATGAGAATTTAATGGATCTAGGAGTTCATAACGAGTAAAGGCGTCTGTGTCATTGACAATAATTTTGAGCCACGTCACCAGCGGTTTCCAATTATTAGTGTTTTGCACCTCCCTACGTGAGTCAAACCAACAGTCAAGCATTTCTCCATTATGGATAAGATTTTATTTTGATAAATCATAGTGTTATACAGTAATATTAACTGATGACGTTTCGAGCACAAACTATTGCTCATAATCATATCAAGTTACTCACACAACCTTTTTCCTTCATTTATATGCATGTGTGGAATCGATTAGATATGGGAATATAAATCAGTATAGGATAATGTACATTCAGAAATAATAATGAGTGTTATTGATCAATTACAATCAGATGGGAAATAAAACGAGTGTTTTTATAGTCATAATGAAGTTATACTCTACCAAAGTGCCCAAGTTCTATACTTACATCAATAGTCAAGCATTTCATCAACTAATAGCAAGTTTTGATTCCGCAATCACTAACTCGTTCCCAACCTAATCATTTGTCAGTTACCATTACGCGAAAAGGAGGGCAACAGTTTGGCATGTATAACACGTGTCCTAGTCATCCCAACCGATGTAGCTTCACACCCTCATCCACTGACTTCCCCTCCTTACTCAACATGCAAGTTAACAAATTCTTTCTGTATCTCTGCTAAAATTTCATCAGAAATTAGACCATTAAAGGTGACACAACTTCCCAAAAATGTAAGATAGTCAACACGCTGAACCATTTCACTGTCTTTCTGCAAACTAGAGGCCTACCTATACCAGTTCCGCGACTTCTACTTGCATTTGACAGAGACGAATCTGATGCCAAACATTTAAACATTTTTGCTCGAGATGTTCAGAAGACTGCATTTTTTAGCCTCTTCACCCAGAAGGACATTACCATCCACATAGTCTAAATTGACGAGACTTTTCTGGTAACAATTCAATTAGATTCAACTCCACTATTATATCTATGAAAATAAAAAATGGAGATATTTGACATTCCTGACGCACATAACTGGTTATCATCACTTCAAATGACAACTCTCTATATGCTCTTGCACGGCTGTATGAGTTCAAGTAGTGTATTGGTTAGACAGTTTGTCGGCACTCCCTTCAAGGAGAGAACACTAAGACAGCACCCCCCGGTCGACAGAGTCAAATCCTGCATTCAGATCAAGAAGTATGTCAAATGCTGGGCGTTCAAATTCTAGGGTCTATCATCCAGACCTAGATCCCATCAGGTTTCCTTGAGTTTGTTTCTCAGTCTGCTCATCAATACTTGACCTAGAATTGTAGATATTATGTTAGCCAAGTTGATAGCACAACGATTATCACTATAAGACTTGCCTTACTCCTCATAAACTTGGATAATCAATTATCTAAACCAGGCTAACGGAATATCTCGAATTCCTACACTTCACGCGATATATTAGTTAAATCAGTCAACAGTCAGCTTTCGCTTGCCATGTTCGGAGCCCACCTGAATCAATGTTATTGAGTTTATCAGTTTGGATGAGACATAAGCAAAACATTATCATTTATCAACAGCCTTCACTACTGTCTGTGCCTTTGTATCAAGTTCAAAAAGTTCACAATGAGTAAACTAACCTGAGGTGGTTGGCAACCAATCTGATCCAGCTTTCCAGTTAAAAAGTGAAATACATCAAGATTTTTAATTGCCAGTTGAGCACAATGATTTGAAATAGACAACAAATCATTGGTGATGCGTAACTCCTTATGATCAAAAGGTTCGTACGTTGAATCAGAACTCTGATTTGGTTTATTACGGGAATGTGGTTCTGAATAACCAAACACAGCTGCGCATACAGCACCAAACAATAAAAATGGTCCATGTACTTGGTGCTCACCAAGATTCGATAAACTAGCCAACAGTCTGTTTAACAAACAGGAATCATAGAGAAAATGGGTGGGTGCGCTGTCTTTTGCAGAGGAAGTACTCTCACTAGTCACAACTTCAACCTTTTTAACTGAAGTGTTTTCCGTGGTCGATTTTCGTTTAGGTGTGTGAACAATGCTCTCCTTTTTCGATTTCTGTGAGAGTGTGGTGGGATGATAAGATAACCTGAATATATTAAACAGATAAAATATGTACAAAGAAAGTCAAGTCACATAAATCACTTAGTGTGAAATGAGAGGCACGAGCACAATTCAAAAGACCAAAGAAATAGACTTACTTATCCGAATATAAAGCCAGTGAGTCCAAATTGGCAGCTCGAATTAGAATAAATGTTTGAGTCAACCTGAAACAGTTAAGGTTAAACATGAGAAATCATTCGAAGTTTGCTTTGAGTAAAATGTCTTCCCAATACACATAAGTATGCGAAAAAAGTAGGCTAATAATGAGTAAATTTAAAAACACCATTCCTCAGTCACATAAAAGTATATCATAGTGCTATAGTAGTCTAGATGACCGTTCAACAGTTTATGTTAAGAAAACGGCTCCGAACGATAACCAACTAAGGTAAGGCTGGAGGATTACGCCGCTTCTAGAAGGTGCATTATATCACCTAGCTACACTGATAATTGAAAATTCGACTGATTTCTCAATAACAGATGCCTACGCTGATGGGGGAAACAAGCACTCCATGGGGACACTAACATCTACGTGAGTTTTTATTGATTATGTTCCTTTACTTTCGCAGTAGAACATAGAGCTTTGAGATAGAACTCTGAAGTTTCAGTTGCAGCGGTTTTACAGTGTACGGTTGCTAGCCTCATCACCAAACTTCCTGGCCAGGCTTACTACAAATTTAGAAATGTTTAGAAGTGCTTCTGCTGAGGATAGAAACCTGGACCGCGTGAGGGGTTGGCGAGCGTTCTACCGCTGAACCACTGACGCACATCAATATAAAGCGAATGAAAAATCCTAGAGAGGATTAAAACTGTAAAAAAAAATAAAAGACAAGCAGTGGGAACCAAATAGAGATAAAGTTACCAAACTTGTTCCACCAGCATTCGATGTGTCTTCAGATTCCAGAAGGAAGATCCAAAAGAAACAGACTAAAGTATGTTTGGTAGTATAGCACAGACTTACCCAGAAGGTCTCTAATATTTTTGTGAACAAAAGAGAAGGATTTTCTGATGTGGCAGAAAAATGTACACCATGAATACCTAGAAGAATAAGTTCGAGAAGCTCTACTAATTCTTTAAGTCTTTGCTCAACAATGATGTTGAACTGGTCATATTCTTCGGCTCCTTTAACACTATTATCTAAAGCCAAACTCTGAAGGAGTTTATTGGTGGAAAAATAAAACATACATAAGTTGTATATGGCCAACTTGTTATTAAAGAAACCGTACTGTAGTGTTCATTCAAGTACTCAGATAAAGCCTGGGGGGTAAAACTAGAAAAAAGGCAACCTACTTCAATAATCAAGTCTTTCCGACTGTTATATGATGTCATTGCGAAAAGAACATCAGATGTCAGAGACCAAGAACTGTGCCACTGACATAAGCATAGTTTTAAAAGCCTCAAAAGACTCAAACGTTCCTTCCAATAGTACTGTCGAATATCTTCCAGTAGACGATTTACATGTCTACCTGTTATAAATAACTAAAAAAGATGAACTTTAAAATGCAATCAAATACATCTATTTGATCTTCTGGAATATCCTGATTGGCAAGGAAGTGCACCAAAATCTCACGACTTAGGAATTCCGAAAGGTTCTAAACGAAGATTATTATAAGACATGACAAACCAAGTATGCAGCAATTCTTTTAACAAAGCGTCGAACATTTTCTTTCGAAATGGTATCAGCATCACTAAACCGATAATATTTGTTCAATTCTAATTTGGCACGTACTTATTCTGAGAAAAGTATTTGAAGCCTTGCTTCAATTGATTTTTAATACTTGAAAGTGATGACAATAAAACTCCCTTAAAATAAATGTTAACTCAAATCAGACATACTTCATCATGACTATCTGAAACAGCCAAACACACCCTTAAGGCCAGGATGCAGGCCATACCGTAGCGATAAGATTTGTATATTTCGATCTTGTCAAGGGCAAATTTTGTGTCCAATATCAAATATCGTTTGTACGAGCTAGTATAAACAAATTTGATTTCTTTTTGCTCGCCTCTTGATTGTGAGGTATAGGTTCCTGATTTTCGGTAAAATTTTGCGTAGATTGTCCCGCCACTCAATTGTCATAGCTTTGGTTGACTCCAAATGGAGTAGTGCTGGGATTAATTATATGTTGTTTGTAGTATGCGGTGTATTAAGACTGTTACTACAGTGAATATTGTTGATCCTTTCACCAGCTAGTCCTCCGGTATCGTCGTCATAAGAAAAGAGGTAATAATAATCTGTGTAGAGCTAATTTTTTATAAGATATCATATAAAGGTTTTTTTTAAGATAAAATAACACTGCGAATAAAATAAGCCGCATTTCTATAACTCAGAATTTCTATTTACAGTTACTCGTATACCCATATAACTTATTATACTTCTTCGTTCGTCTGTCTGACTTACATGTTAACTGTTTCTTTTGTTACAGGGGGCTCCCGCAGCCCCACTACATTCAGTTTGCTTGATCTAATTCTCACGCTGACAGCGCTCACACTAAATAATTTCGCTAGACCTCGCAGTAATAATGACTAAGTGTAGCTTCCAAATTGTGTAGTCCTAAATAATAAATTTTTAAAATTTTCGCCAAATATCAAACGGATATGTGTGTAATTTTTGTTTAATCTACTCCTTTGGCATATATATAACTTTGATGTTCAAATGAAAATATAGACTTGCTCGTCGTTCGATCGACATCTCACTGGTTCCTACTCTACGCCTGCTTCATTAATTGCTGCGTTGTATTCTTCAGAATTTGCAAGAACATCTCATCCTCATCGAAAGGCTCTCCAGCTACCGTTGAAAAACTGCCAGGGGACACGACCCAACAGTCAAACATCTTTGTGGATTATATTATTAATCTGTAGAACTGGAGAATAACTGCATTTTCAAGTAACCATCGACGATTGTAACTCATTTATCTGTATGTCTGTCATATAAAGTCTTGATATCCTTTCATTAACTTGGATTTTTATTCTGATATTTCATATGTCTATCGAACTCATTATTAAGCACCCTAAACTTATTATATATTATTTTATTCCTTTAAGTTCACAGAGGAACATTGGGCTTCAATCTATAACTCTTGAGTTTCGGTAGTAATTTCCTTTATTTTACGGATGGGGTTTCTGGCCTGAGGCCCAATCTTCCCTCTGTACCAATCTTATTAATGGCTTAGTAAGGCAAAGGGGTGAGTCGGCAAGGTGTCGAACACCGAAGAACATGCATGCCACCGACGCAAATTTACAGATATAGACCCAGAATACATGATGACGTTATTTTGTTCACCTGTGAGTGATTAGTAAATCAGTCAGTTATGCTGCCTGAACGACTTCAGGCTCGCTTCTGACTGGCTTAAGCTAGATATAACGCTCCTAATTGTTGTGTGATGATCTGTCTTGTCAGACCTAGGCTTTGACCACACCACCTGCTCAACTTTTAGCCTGGCCAACATACTCAGTTACAGGGCTTCACTTAATGCATTCTTAAGTGGTTAGGAAAGAGGATTTACCACGCTTACGGCTGTTCAAAACTGTATATATTATCGGTGGTCTGAAAGGAATATAGAGACACACAATTACATAACGAAATAGCAGCCGCGCTCTAGTTGTTCGCGGTCAGGCCCAATCGCTACAAATCAACAAACTTTCCGACGAAGCGAGATGGCTGAAATTCCATTGAGTTCACAATCTTTTGGATCCCAAACAAATGCACTAGCAAAAGACACAGGACTGCTTTGAACTACGAGGAAATTAGCTGACTCAAAGACTCACTAAATCTCTCTGAAATGGCTTAATTTTAGTCCACCACTGAAGGCTAAAAATTGACCTACCAAATATCTCAATTACAGCAAGGACAAAATGTTCCCAATGTATCTCACATAGCGTTGCCTGAAAATTAGGTATTTTGACGACATTAACCCACTACAATAATATTAATCCAGCAAGATACGTTGAAATTAGTGGAAGGGAAGTTTTCAACTCATGCAGAATCGTACACACAAGCATCCAATTTTACTTGGGCACAAATAGGATCTTGTGACAACACAATGCTATGGCTACTCAGATTTAGTGAGTGACTGAGGAATTCAGAATAACTGTATAACCAAACATATAGGAACTACTTTCCTTATTCACAGGGCTTCCTTTACCTATTGAAAAGTGAGTAATCTTCTGTGCATTTGACAAGGTTTCCCACTTCTCCTGTTAACTAATATGCCTTAGACATTAAATTAGTTTAGGCAGCGAGGTTACATCTCAACAGGTTATGTGAAACACTAATGTAACGGTAAAAAACGAAAGACTTGGTAATCTTCGTATTGTGCTAATTCGGGATTTCAATTTGTTTATCTTTGTGTTCCTTTCACGTTTATCATGTGTTTTTACAAGGGTGTACTATTTGTGTTCAGTGAGATCAAATGTATCTCCTTGATATTTTATGCTTTTATACCAATGAATGGTCAAGTTGAACTTTGAGCACCACTGATACTAATAGAGTACGACCGCACCAGTGACCTAGAAACGCTAACTGAACAAGTTAGTGAAACCTGGCAAATAATGTTGCCATCATCAATAAAATATGCTTGCCTAGGTGTTATGTTATTAAACGGGATATCTAGCAAGTTTCAGCTTGGGTTTGGGAAAGATTAAACTGTAACGACAGGAGATAAGGGCCAGGTAGCAGAAAGTTTATTGAGAAAATCAATAGATATTTTAGAATTTTTATGTATATTATTATGCGTAATTGTTGTTGTTTGTTGCCGTTTCTTAGACAGTCCGTTGTTATATCTGCTGATCGTATCCGCCCAAGCTTAGACTGCTGTGATTGGTTAGTCTTTGTTATTGTTTTGTGTGTGTTTGACTAGGTTTCCCACAACTCTAGTTTTCTGATGTGCTTCAGAAACTGAAGTTATAGTGACGTCAGTACCTTTATGGAGTGTTACTTGCTGTCGGTAGTCAATGAAAACCTAATCAAAAAAGTCATGAACTGCTCAGCGTCCCAGATTCTCATCATCAAATTGAAATTATCAATGCCTACACATGTAATCCAATGCACAGCTATAATAAAAACGCAAGCAGCGTGTGAGTAGGGGTTTTTCAAGTCTAAAGTTGTTGAATACGAAGGATGTAATGTTCTACGTAACATGATAGCTGAGTTTTTCAGACTGCCATTACAGCTTTTGGGATTGTACCTACTTCAGAACCAAAAACGCCTGATTACAGCTTTTGTTTCCATATAACCGCTGGATTGTATATTTTCCAAAACGTTGCCACTTGAATGGATCATTTATAGTCACTAGTTTCACCTTTATAGGTTACCGAATATATCCAACAATATTCACCACACCGCTTATTGTTACTGAGGCTTTGTTGACGCGTCAGTTGGCGCACAAGCCAGTTCCACGCATCATTTCCTGGGAATCTCGGTCTAGCAATAAACAAGCTACAAAACGACACAATATATGGTTATTATAAAAAAATTCATGTACAGAAAAAGGTCTGGACTAACGAAAGGAGCATACTTCTAGAACATGCGAGGGTTTGCCATCTTGTATAATCATTTAACATTAATTTGTTTGCTGCAAGATTTTCTCTTTGAATAACGTCCATCGCCCACCAAGGTCATTCAGCCGATTGTCCGCCTACGTCTCTGTAATTTGGCCTAACCGGTGGTATTACTGTTAAAGCCTATATCCACTGAAATTCTAAGATTACTGAAAAACCTACCATGGCGATTATTTGAGTGAGTGCTAAATGGACAAAGGATGAAACTAAAAATTCCTAGGGTAAACATCAGGAGGTAGCAGCACAAAATCATTAAAATCCGACTTTATGCGTGTAACGTTGAAGTCATATGTCAAAATTTGATCATGAAACAACATTTACTACCACAGAAAAGCCGAATTTATGAAGCCATCCGAATGTGTGCCTTACAAAAGACTTGCTGATTCATAATTTTGTGCCAAATATCTATATGATATATTACTTATGTAATAATGTGCACGTAGGAATGCTGCAATAAGTTCTATCAGGTCATACCATAAAACCACTCGAGTATATTGGTCACAGCAAAAAGAGCTTGCCATGTCTTCGTTTGAATACATTAAAATGTGGAAAATGAAGGCGGCCAATTTTGACTTGAGTTTCTACAGGTGGTTGACTTTATGCGGCTGTGTACTACTTCCCAGCTAGATTATTTTCGGGCGCACTGCAGACGTTTTAGGGCGGAATCTTCGGGCGCATTGCAGATTTTGAGAAACTGAACCTAAGTCTGCCCCAAAAAGTCTGCAGTGTGCCCTTAGTCTGCTCCAAAAAGTTAGCTGTCATTGGTTGAGGAAGTACATATGGGTTACTCCCATTGGTTTATTTCTAGCCAATCACCGCTCATACAAGTGCCCCAAAAAATCTGCAGTGCGCCTGAAGTCTGCCCCAAAAAGTCGGGAGTGCGCCCGAAGCTTACCCCAAAAAGTCTGCATTGCGCCCGAAATCGTTGCTGGCTTGCAGAATGCTATTATCACATCAAACGTCACACCTGACTGTTTAAAAGGTGTTCTATCAGATTCCTACACGACCGAATTCCCCATCGTGGCGTTCGGGATACAGTGCGCTGACATGCTCCACAGTGGCCCTATTTCTGGTTCAGAATATTTGTAACGTTCATTTTGAATATGGCGCTCATTGAAATGCAATCTTTCTACGATCATTTAAGTATTACTAATGCCCATGTAGGCCTTAAAGATAAACAGAATATTTGACGGCAATAATCGTTAATGACTGCTTAACTGTTTATTAATATGTGCACATTGTTGGTGTTGGTAAACTGGCGCACCTCTCATGCAAGAAATTATATCAATACCCTCTTCTCCTCCAGTCAGTTCACTAACATTGACATGGTTCGC